GATAGCTGACTCTGAAATGATTATATTGCGATTGAAAAGTTTGCACCTTGCCTCTCTTGCCCTTTCTCCTGAATTCTGTTTTTCTTTCCCTAAGCATTTTCTCTGAAGTCTCTCCAACTATATACAGTTTCAGGGGTTTAAAGGACTTTCCCTAAATCAGGAGCCACACATCTCCCTCCATGTATGCAGCACTCAGCTTTACAAAACTGTCTTTTAAGAAACCATCCTAGGCTTGGGGCAGGAGTGGGGTTAAACTGAAATCATGTTTGTCAGAATTTTTTGGTTCCCTTAGTTATGTTTTGATAGCAAAAATTTTCCACAGAAGCATTTTAATTAATTTTAGTTTTCACTTCCATAAGATTTTGAGTTCCAATTTTTCTCCCCATCTCATCCCTGCCCCACCCCAAGACGGCATGAATTCTGAATACCCCTTTCCCTAATCAGCCCTCCCTTCTATTGCTCCCCCCATTTTCTTATCCCCTTCCCCTTCTATTTTCCTGTAGGGCAGGATAGGTTTCTATACCCCCATTGCCTGTATATCTTACTTCTCAATTGCATGTGAAAACAATTTTTAATATTTATTTTTAAAACTTTGGGCTCCAAATTTTCTTTCTTCCTCCCTCCCCACCCACCCTCATTGAGAAGGCAAGCAACTCAATACAGGTTATACATGTGTAGCCATGCAAAACACTTCCATAGTAGTTATGTTGTGGAAAACGGATATATTTCCCTTCATCCTGTCCCATCCCCATTTATTCTATTCTCTCTTTTGATCCTGTCCTTCCTCAGAAGTGTTTGCTTTTGATTACCCCCTCCCCCAATCTGCCTTCCTCCCCCCTCTCTTATCTCCTTTCCCCCTATTTTCCTATAGGATAAGATAGATTTCCATACCCAATTGAGTGTGCATGTTATTCCTTCCTTAAGCCAAATCCGATGAGAATAAGATTCACTCACTCCCTCTCACCTTCCCCCACTTCCCCTCCATTGTAAAAGCCTTTTCTTGTCTGTTTTATGTGAGATAATTTACCCCATTCTACCTCTCCCTTTCTCCCACAGATGCATTTATAACACAGTAAACATACTCTCCTACTTATTCATTAACTGATAAATTTTAGTATGTGACCACAGCTGTTTTTTCTTCTTTATGGAGCCTAAAATAATCCTCTGATTTCTGAGAGCTCACAGCAACCACAAACTACCAGGGGAGAAGGACAGGGAGTCTAAACAACCAAATATTGCTATTGATGCATGTTATCCTGCTGTAGGACACTGAGGAAATAATGCCAAAGAAACTGAAGTGTAGAGTGAGCAAGATAAATGACATTGAAGTTTGGGTATTTTGTTTGGATAATTTGTTGTTTCCTAGTTTTAAGCTAGTGTGTTAAACCTAAAAATTACTATAGCAGTTTTCCCATTCACATTTTTGTGATTTGAAGTGATTATTCATGTTATCATAAAGTCATACTTTCTATTTAGACATAATTTTTAATGGTTGCTCCATTTAATTCTATTTTTATTGTTATTAAATCTTCCCCCCTAAAGGAACACAACTCTAATTTTATAATGAAAGTCAGAAAGCAAATAGAAGCTATTAAAGCTTAAAACTGCACCAAGACTTTTGGGACATGTATAGAAATTTACTCAGGGGAACTTACATCAAAAGGGAAAGAGTCAAAAAGTGAGTGAAAGGGAAATATAAGGAACAAAAGACTGAAATTACCAAAGGACTCAGAAGGAATAAAACTCATTAAAAAACCCCAAGCAAAAGAAGATAAACCAACAGGAAAGAAAATATTGATACCATAAAGAAATTTGACTTCCAAAAAGTCTAAATGAATCCAAATATCTCTGAATAAATATTTCAAGACAAAGAAAATGAATCAACACCTCATAAGGCAGAGGACCCTGTGGATTCCCAAGAGAACATGAAAGTACAGCAGAATATTCTAAAAGAGATCAAGAATGAATGAATGAATAAAACATTTATTAAGTATTATGCTAAGTGCTGAGGATATAGACAGAAAAGCTAGACAATCCTTGCTCTCAAAAAAGTCACATTCTTATGGGAGAGACAACATATATGGAAGGTTTCAGCTGCAAGTCAGTAAGGTTCAATAGTCCTTAAAGCACAGCTGCTAAGCAAATAGTAATGTCACTTCTTGAATATTATTTCCACAGATAAAAATCATATCGGTTTATGACACTGAACCATTTTACAAAGCCAAGAATTTTGGTGGCAAGAACTTTCTTTTCTGGGTCTTCAGTAGCCGTAAAAGTCAGACTACATCTTCACCAAGGGTTGCTTCCTGGGGATGATGGCTGTAGGAACTGTACTGGAAGGATTTCTATTCCCAAGGTTCCTGGGTTCAGGGTCCTGGACTGAATCCACAGGGATTTCAGGGGAAATGGTGATCAAAATGGTATTGATGGTTTGACTTTCCTGACACTTCTCGCCTCTTGTCTTGCTGCTTCAACTAGGCTGGCCTGCCTACCTTGTGGGTGGCAGTTAGTTTCAAGACAGAAATAAGAATCATAAATGCAGAATTTGTGGCCTGCAACAGCAGAAGTAATTGGCAGAATAAAATTCACAGTAATAAATCTCACCAAAAAAAATCACTGATTGGGAATGAAAACACACAGAAGTAAAGTTCAATCTGGAAGAAGAGAAGCAAAAGGCAATAACATTAAAAGAAAATCTCTGTACAAGCAAAACATATTGATCTTGAAGACAAGATGCATGGAAACGATTTAAGGATTTTAGGTCTCCCAGAAGGATGTAAAGCCAAAAAACCCAAAGACATAAAATAGACAAGAAATTACATAAGAAAACTACCCAGAACTTTTGAAAATAGAAAATAAAATGGCAGCTAGGTGGTGCAGTAGTTAGAGCAATGGCCCTGGAGTCAGGAGGACCTGAGTTCAAATTTGGTCTCAGACTAAACACTTGACACTTACTAGCTGTGTAACCCTGGGCAAGTCACTTAACCCCAACTGCCTAAAAATAAGAAAAAAAATTTTTTTAAAAAGAAAAGAAAGTAACAACTACAAAAAATCCACAGACTGCATTCAGAAAAAAAACCACCCAAACCTTATGCTGCAAACTCCAAGATTCATAAGTGGTTAAATTTAACAGTTCCAATAACAACAAATTCTGCAACAATCCAGAAGCAAAGACCTTCAAATATAAAGGAAAGGAAACTTGAATACTACAGACTATTCTTCACTCCCCAGAAATTGTAGAAGGGAATGGAATAATGTGTTCTGAATAGCAAAGGAGCTTAAGGTGCAACTCAAGGTAATATACCCCACAAATCAGGGTCTAATCATCAGTGAAAAAGGGCTCCAATAGGAAACATTTGAAGCATTCCTATCCCAAAATATGGACAGTCTATTTGCTTTGGAAAGACTTCAGACAACAGAAACACAAGTTGTTATTCAGTTATTTCAGTCATGTCCAACTCATGACTCCATTTGGGACTTTCTTAGCAAAGATACTGGAGTAGTTTGCCATTTCCTTCTCCAGCTTATTTTACAGATGACACTAACAGGATTAAGTAACTTGCCCAGCCTCACAAGCTAGTGTCTTAGGCCAGATTTGAACTCAGGTCTTCCCGATTCCAGGCCTGGCACTCTATCCATTGCACCAAATATAGCAACCAAAGGCACACAAATAATGAAATAAATTATCACAGGAAAAAAGGAGAAAAAAAACCCTATAAAGACATGGGGTTAAAAATAATAAAGGAACCATTAATAGATTTCTTTTTAAGAGTACACAAAGTGACAAAAGTAAAAACAGAACTTATAGAAACAATGGGGAGGAATAGGTCAGAAACACAATGGTCTAAACTTCAAAACACATCTGTAGGTGAATCGAAATTCTTTATGGAACTAAATTTCATAATAGGAAGATACATAAAAGGGAAGAGGGAAGGAAGAAGATAGAGGGAAATGCATATGTAGCCCCAAGTAAATGGCAGACAATGAAGGAAAATAACTCCTCTTAAGTATCTTAGGAAAAAGAGGGCTTATAGGAGAATGGGCGATGTGAGGAAGGAAGGGATTGAAACAGGGAGAAAGAAAAGGAGGAACTCTCAATTCAGTATTGGGAGAGGGTTCCAGTGAAGAACACTCTCATGGTGGGAGAGACACATTGTCTAACAGAAGATGTGGACTTGACAATAAGAGAATTAATACTTAGACAGACTACTACCTCTGAGAGATTGTTGCGCCTCCAAGGGCAGCATCCTCCCTCAGGAGAAGGGGAATTAGAGCTTCTAGGGGTAACTGACATCCAGAAGAGTGAGAGAGCATGGATCCAGAGAGATTTCATGGCAAATAGGGGAAAAAATTATCATGGGGAGAGGAGGGGGTAATAATGAACACCCCAATTAAGGACACAGGGAAATATCTAGTATGGAGCCATACTTCTATGCTCTCTATCTCCTATAGGAATGGATCCTAAATCAGACACAAGAGGAAAAAAAAGGTGGGAAGGAGCAAAATGTATGAGGAAATAACATAGTCCCTGTTTAGAGAAGGGAACTCAAATAAAACAGAAGGATTTCTTTGTGAGTGGCAGATATGAAAAACATGCATACTATACAGGCAGAGTTATTGCCTGAGAATGTTTAAAAGTAGGAAACACATTCAGGCAGACAAAGCACAATCCCAGCTCTTTAAACAGAATATTGTGATGGTAGTGTTGGCACAAATGTATCACTGGGATCTAGCAAAGTCACAACCACAATGGAGTTCAAGGTAGCATGCAAGGAGGGGAACTTGAGAGATGTAGAAAAACAGCTGCCCTATGTCTGACCGGCAAGAGGTCACAGCTATAGCTTCCAAAAAATGATCAAAGGAAGAGACTATAGTGGAACGACAAATCCATCCTAACCTGCTCTTAATTAGTAAAATTAAGTCACTTAAACATAGTACCATTTTCAAAGTTATCCACTTACCCCCAACTAATTTAAGAAATAAGAGAGACAAATGCCAATGTAACATTCTTTAATGACATCCTGTATTTTGATTTAATTCCAATCTGGTTTGCAGAAACAAAAAGTATGGATTATTTTAAAACTTCATTATAAAGAAAGTAAACAAAAGAATAATCCTGCTTTGATTTATTAATTTCTGAAAATACGTTATTTTTCCTATTTGGAAAAAAGGAGAGAATAAAGAGTGTTCTCTGTCATTGATGGACTTAAATAAATTAGTCAGAGCCTAGGTAGACCTTAATGACAATTTACTGAACATTAATTCGGTGTTATATAAAAAAAAAAATCTACTTTTCTCAAGTAGGCTCCACAAATCATTCATAATTTCTCACAGATTAAGGCACACATCGTTATTGGCATTATAGTTCATGTATCCGTAAGAAAATATAAATAACATCTGAAGACAATGGATTTTGTGTGCAGTAAAGTGCATTATGTGACCCTGAATGCACTGACCTTCAGGAAGGTAGCATTAAACTATATGTAAATCCAAGAGTTATAGTTGTTCATTTCTCCTTTAAACATTACCATTTTAACAGACATTGATTTAAAGGAATATAGCAAAAAATAAACTTCCTTAAGCTAGACTATTTTCTGAAAAGTTATACTTTTCATTTTAAGTAGCAAGCAATTAAAGTTTTAAAAATCATTTAACTTACACATTATTTTGACATAGCATATAAACAAATTGATGGCAACTGGAAAAATCTTAACGGCATATATGTGATCCTATATTTGATATTATGTTATTAGTGGCTATGTTTGTAGATCAAAGGTCAGTTAAAGTTTCACTGACATAACTGAAGAATGCATTTAACTATTATTCTGTAAACAGTGTAGACATATTCATTTATAGCAGAAGTACTATCTCTTTTAAAACAGATAAAACCCCAATGCATGGGATTCATCGGTAAAAGGTCCAGATAGACAACACTTTGATAAAATATTATTATAACTATTATATTATAGCTAATACTTTATTGTAGCAGAGATGTATTTCCTGAAATAATAAATTAGTTCTAACACTAGATAATATCATTCATGAATTCCAACCTCCCCAATACCAACCACCAAACCCCTCTCCATACTCTATTTAGATAAACTAATTCTATTCTTAATTAACAATTAGCACCTGGCAAGTTGTATTTTCAGGCAAGATAAAAATTCAGGATAAATATTAGCAGCCATTTTTACATACAAACAGCATTCCATTTTAGTTATTTCAGTGCTTCAAGATTCACAGGAGTTAAGCAGCTCAACATAATGTTAAATGTCTAGAACCTGGGCAACCTAGACCCTGAGCTTCTTTTCAGAAGGAAATAGGCTGCTCAAAAGTATAATTCTCCAAAACTTCAATTCAATTCAACTCAACGAATATGGAAGATTGCTTGGAAATGGCCCCTTAAAATTCTTTTTGGAAACAGTCATGACCTAAATAATAAATAAAACCAAAACACAAAATGCTGATGGTAAAGCAAGAAAAACTGAATAGGTTATAAAAAAGCTGGGTGAGAAGAAATAAAACAATATTTGCATATATACATACATAACAGATGACTGACTAGAACTGTATAAATGAGATTCTTCACATTAAAATCATTTTGTTGACTACGCAAAACAATTCTCGAGCCAAAATAACTAAATATTAGAACTACAATTGCTGCAGAGGTGACATATATTTAAAAATTCACTTCAATGATGAGTACATTCAATGATTACTTTTAAAGAGTGTTTTCCAAAAGTTGCCACCTAGTTCCTTAGACATCGATATGAATTCCATGTTTTATAGACATCATCTCTCTGGTCCCTGTTAAATACATAACAAACGAACTTAAGTGAGGTAAAGATGCTGTGATTGTCACATAGAGCCAATATGGCAGGGGAGAAGTTCTTCCAAAAGGGCAAATCCATAAGCCATGACGAATTCCATCCCGAACATGGTGAGAAGTCCAAGACATAAATAACATCCAGGGAAGAAAGCACCATGAGTCTTTGAGCCGGAAAAGGTGCATAACCAACTTTAGTGTCAGAACCACAATAGGTATCAGAGTAGAACAGTGGAGAAAAGGCCTATGTGGAAGATTCAAAGCAGCCTGGGGGAAAAGAAAAAGAAATATCAAGTATTGTTTCTATTTGGAGAGGGAAATTTTTTTGGAAAGATATTTACTGGTCACTTTCCAGTTTCTTAACTGAAGTGCCAAGTAAAACTTTTTCTCTGTTGGCCTCATTCTAACCACCCCAATACACGAATCAGAATTACTATATACACAGAAAGGCAGGCAATGTGTATAATGGGAGCCATTTTCTTACTTAAATAATCAGATTTGAGGAACCACATGATTAATAATCACATTTTATACTTAGCAAAGTTAGATTTAACAGAAGTGTTTGATTTTTAAAGTGTCGCTAGAATCTTCCTTGTTTTGTGTCAACATAAAGCAGTGAATCAAATATTATAAAGTATTAGTAAAATGATTACATTATCATTTTATTTCTCCTCTGAGTTGCCAGAACCATGTAGCAATATTATGTACACTTCTCCAATATTTCAAAATATCTGTAAAATCTCACTACACCTTAGGAGATTGGTGTCATGGGTTGCTGTAGCAAAAAGGAAAAAAAAAAGTCAGCTTCTGTCTAACCTCAGGGATGTATGTATCATCCCCCAGTCCATAGTTTCATACCTTTCCCAATCTGCTAGGGTCTTCTTCAAGAGCTTGCATTCAACTGGCATAAATAAGTTATTATACTCAGAACAAACATGCTCTTGATCCTAAATAAAGATTAATCTGAACAGTTAGGAAGAATAGAGACAGCTGATAGTAGAGTGGATAGGGTGCTGAGCCTGGGGTCAAGAAGATGCGAGTTTCAAAATATCTCAGACATTTACTAGCTATGTAACCCTGAGCAAGTCACTTAACTTCTGCTTGCCTCAGTTTCCTCTACTGTAAAATGGTGATAATAACAGAACCTACCTTTCAGAGTTGCTGTGAGGATCAAATGAGATATGTGTAAAACACTTGGCACAGGGCCTGGCACATAATAGGCACTATAGAGATGCTAGCAATTACTTACTACTATTACTATTAAAGAGAAAATTAACACAGTGGAACTATTTTTCAAGTAAGTTAGTGCTGATTGTCCCATAATAAAGCAGAATACAATTTTTTACAGTAAAATAGAAAACTATTTAAATGTTGGCCAGAATCTCACATGTGAATAAACAGATTCTAAAACATCTGTATCTCTGAATTATTAAATTTTTCTACAGAAATTAATTTATCATATTGTATTTTTATGTATGTAGAGAAGAAACTCTAAACTTTTTTTAAATCTCAGGACTTCTTTATATTCTTACATATTATTGAGGACCCCAAAGAGCTTTCCTTTCTGTGGATTATAGCAATATTTACTATATTAGAAATTTAAAATGATAACATATTAAACTATTACTTAATTTTAAAATAACAATAATAAACCCAATATATGTTAACATAAGTATCATTTTAAAAACTGTATTTCCAAAATGAAAAAAAAGTGAGGAAAATGGCATTGTTTTACATATTTTTGCAAATCTCTTTAATGCCTGGCTTCATAGAAAACAACTGGATTCCCATATCTGCTTCTGTATTAGATCTGTTGCAATACGTTGTTATGGTTGAAGTACATGAAGAAAATCTGACCTCACACAGATATGTATAGTTGGAAAACGGAGGAGTATTTTAATAGGCAAATAGCACTTTATTATTATTATTATTATTATTATTATTATTATTATTATTATTGTTATAAAAATAGTTTTGACCTTGACCCTTTGAAAGGCTCTTGGGGATCCCCAGGGATCCTGGGATCACACTTTGAGAACTGCTGACCTACAGCATGAAAGGTATAACTAAAAATTCTAATTTGAAACAAATACAAATAAGTGATATCATATTGCTTGCCTTCTCAAAGGGCAGGGGAAGACGGGGAAGACTGCCTTCTCAAAGGGCAGGGAGAGAATTTGGAACTCAAAATTTAAAAAAAAAGAATGCTATAAAGAATTTTATTTTTAAGAAAATAAAAAGAAACAAATACAAATATGGCATCACACAATTAACCGGGAGATTTTATTTCCAATGGAAAGCAAAAGTTACTCTTGATGTGAAAAGAAAAAAAAAATCCGGGTCAATTATTACATAAGTGTTTATAGAATCCTAGGGTTATACTGGTATGTGTCAACCTTTATCAACCACTTAGCTCCACACTATTTTATAGCCAGAGATGGCAATTTTCTATGACTATTTAAAGTTTGTTGGCATAGTTTAGCCCTTCATTTTAAATAGTAGATCCTGTTGCTAATAGATATGAAAAGAAATAACAAGGAATTTCTTGTTTCCAGGTTTCTTGCTAGAATATTAATATACAACTTACTTACAGACAAATCATGAATAATGAATAGAAAAGAACAGGTTGCTGCAAAAATGAATATAAAGACCATTACTCAAAAATAACCAAATAAATCTTCACTGACATTTATTGCTGATGAACTATGCCATCTACTGGTAAATGTGAAGGAAATGATTCAATATTCTACTCAGAAGAAATGAAAGGACTGGTATAATATTTAGCCTGATGAAAATTACCTGCTAGATGAGTTATGATTTTATGAGAGTTTTAAACCAAAAAAAAGGTTTTTTTGGTTTCTTTTTTTTTTTTACTAAATCAACATTTGAATATTTACTTTGTGCAAAGTATTATAACCGGGACTACAGATTAAAAATAATTTCTAAATATGTAATTGTGAAATTAATCTATCATATTGCTTTTAAAAAGAACAAAATCCCTTCATCTCCCTCAGGCTTTAAAACATATTGTCAATTGGTCATCCTCAAAATAGTTACTGTACAAAAAATGAGAGAAAGAAATCAGTGAGACAGAATAAAAATACCAGATAGCTAACTAAATGTAAACAAAAAATTAATCTTTGACAAATTTTTAAAAACTGGATAAAGGATCCATTATTTAATAATTGTCTCTGAAAAAACTGGCTAATAATTTAATAGAAAATGGGTTTAGACACACCTTTTGTATCACATACTTTAAGCGAATTTCAGCTGGATGACAGACAACCATTTTTTAAAATATAAAAAGAATGGGAGAAAATGGAGCAATTTATGGAAAGAACTTTTTTTCTATTAAACCAATAGAAGAAATTATTAAGGACAAAATGGAGGTCCTTAAAATATTTGAATAAAAAATTCTGTACAATAAAAAAAAATAATCAAAAGAAAAACAACAGCTTGCATATTTATGCAAACTGTAACAGATGAAAACCTGACTTCTAAAATATATAAAAAGGTATTCAAATTTACAAAGGTAACTAACTCCAAATCCACAGTGGATAAATAGTCAAAGGACATAAACAGACAGGTTTGATGTGGAAACACAAATTGACAAATATCATTGAAAAAATACTCAATTTTACTGATAATCAAAGACATTCATATGGAGAAAAAAAAGAATTTCAAACAGAAATAATGAAAAAAAGCAAGAATGATGAGGGTCTGGAAATACAAGGTTTCAATTTATAGTGCAAAATAATAATTGTCTAAAGTATTTTGGTACAGGTTAAAAATCAAAACAACAGATTAGTTCTACAACTTCCAGAAACAATCAAACATGGTAGTACTGTGTTCGAAAAGTCCAAGGACACCAACTACTGAGGTTAAGACTTAAAAGATGCAAGGTAAATTGAAGGCAATCTGGCAGAAATTAGATTTAGACCAACATATTACTCTATATACCATAATAAACTCAAAATGGATGTATGACCCAAATCTGTGTTCTTACCACAGAAAAAAATTAAAGAAAAGATACCTTTAACAGTGATTGCTAAGGACAGAATTTTTATATTAACAAAGGACATAAGTAATCACAGAAGACAAAATGGGCAATTTCAGTTACATAAAATTGAAAAGCTTCTGACCAGCAAAATTAGAATTAGAAAGGAATTGGCACAGAAAAAAAATATTTGCAACAAATTTCTCCAATAGAAGTATGCTATCCAAGATATATCTAGAATTGATACAAGTATAGAATGAGCCACTCCCCAACAGATAAAAAGTAAAAGGACATAAACGGAGTTTTCAAATGAAAAAAAAAACCAAACAAGTTATCAATAACTGTATGAAAAATAACCATATGTAAAAAAACTCCTGATCAATAATATGAGAAATGAGAATTAAAATAACCCTTTGAAGTTCTACCTTAGAACACTAAGAAGGCAAAGACAACAAAAGAAGAAAACAAGAGATGTTAGAAGAGCTTTGGAAGGGCAGACACACCAACAGACTGCTGTTAGAACAATGAATTTGTCCCACCATTAATTTGGAAATTAGTATGGCGCTCTACCCAAAAGTTACATCACTGAATGTACATACACTTTGACCCAGTACTTTACATGTACTCCCAAGGTCAAAAACTGTGGGGAATGACTCATCAGTACAAAAAGGATTTTTAGCAGTACTTTTTGTTGTAGCAAAGACCTCACTGGGTGAATAGCTGAACAAAATGTGGTATCTGAATGTAACTGAATATCATTGCACCATAAGAAATTATAACGATGACAGTGTCTGAGAACCTTGGGAATACCATATGATTATTGCAGAGAAAGTAGAAACAGAGAACAATTTACAGAATGACCACAGTATAGTCAAGCACAACAACTCTGAAAGTTTTTAGAACTCTGATCAATGCAGTGATCAAGAATTTAAAAGACTGAAGATGAAACATGCTTTCCCTCCTTTAACAGAGCAGTGATAGATATAAAGCTTAAAATGAGACATATGTTTTCAGACATGGCCAACATATTGATTTGATTTGCTTCTCTATACTTATTGTTATAGAGGAAGGCTTCCATTTAGGGGGAAGGGAGTGTTGGTGGTGATAGAAATGAAAGAAAGAAGGAAAGAAAACAGCAGCAATAAAACATTTAAAAATACACAGAATAATCTATAGAAGAAGTTCAAAGGAGACAAAAAGGGTAATTTTGTTACTACCTTTTTATTATAGTGTATGCAACAAACTTACAATTTTATGTACTATCTCTATTTTGTTTCTTGTGTACTGAAATGTTTGTTGACTAAGTTTATAATAAAAAAGAAAACGATGGGATTGGATTAAAAAAACCCAGTTCTTTGCGGGTTTTGGGCTTTTACAAATGCTGTGTAATAACTGTTTTTATAACTGTATGTTATTATTATAAAGTAAATGCAAAGAAAAAGGCAATCAAAATAAGCCTTGTTTTTTAAGAACTGATGTGAAGAATACATAACTGAAATAATTTGGAAGGAGAACAAGAAAATGAAATAACATGCTTCTTACCTTTAAAGACAGAGATCCAGCTAGAAAAAAGTGGTCCACATCAATAAAAGAGGCTAGAAATCCAGCCAAAATAACTTCTCCAAAATCACTCTTCTTCTTGAGTCCAATTACTATTGCCCATGACCACATTCCAATTATACCATGCACTGCACTGTCAGAGAGGGCTCTAAGCCAGTCATTTTGCTGAATGAAAGAAAACTGAACAAGTCTGTCTGCTACAAAGCAGAATAAACCTAAACCAAGGCTAGAAACGACAGACAGGGTACTAAATGTCTGGAGGAGAGCAAAGGTCTTTTCAGTCTCAGTTGCCATCACAACTGACATGTTGCTGTACTTTAAATGCCATCAGGGAACTTATAGTCTATTGTTGTTAACATATTCACATATCCTGTAACAGAACATACAAAACATGTTAATCATGTGGGCCAGTATTTACTGCTTACACACAAGATAATATTACTATGATAATCACATATGTAAGAGAGGCAACATGGCATATGATAGATAGATGGCTAGCCTGGGAGCTAAGAGGACCTGGGTTCAAGTTCTGCCTCTGACACATACTGGCTATAAGATTTTGAACATTTGTTTAATTTTAAAATTTACTTTAAACTTAATCTCTCAATGCCCTCAGGAAATATTCTAAGACTATAAATTGCATTACCAATGCATTGGTATGCATTGGTAAAGGGAATGTCTTCAGTGGAAGCTCCCTCTACCAGCGAAATCACAGGCCCAGTAAAAATATTCCTATATATGAAATGTATACACCTATTATGGGCCTCTTCACTGCCGTCTGAATTATACCCACTTCTAATTTTTCAAAGGTTGCTGTATTCTCTTTTGCTGTCATATAACAATACCAGTTAATATTAAACAGATAGGTCTTTACTTTTCTGGGAAACTCAGGGTCAATAGAGGAGATTTATAATTACTCAAAGGTAATCCAACCTATTTTACTCCTTCCTTCTGTTCAATTCTGGAGCCAACTCATTGACCATCCATGCTCCTATCCCAGATATACATAATTAGGAACAAGCTTTACAAGTTATCCATCTATACATATGTTGATATATGGGCAATAGTCTTCATCCACTTGGTCTTTCTTATGTGGACTGACAAGACAAATGACTATAAATATGAATAATTCTGTAAAGATACACAGAACTCTTGATCACTCTGTAATAGTAAAGTACAGCATGCTAAATTTAGGAAGTGAACTGAGACTAACATTTCTCAGACATTCTTACAAAAAGGCTAAGTATAGCACAGTGGATGGGAGTGGGGGAGGGAAGGGAATAAGCATTTATAGTAGTAGTAAGTAGTAAGCATGGCCTACTATGTGCCAGGAACTGTGTGCTAAGTGCTTTTATTTTTTAAATAAACATTATCTCACTTGATCTTCTCAACAACTCTAAGTGGCAGATACTGTTATTATCTCCATTTTATAGCTCAGGATATTGAGACAAAGAGAAGTTAAGTGACTTGCCCAGGGTCACACAGTTGGGAAATGTCTGGGGCTGAATCTGAACTCAGGTATTCCTGACTTGAAGACCAGGGCTCTATCCACTGTGCCACCAGAGTACTGGATTTAGAATCAGAAAGATGTGGGTTTCAATCCTGCCTCTTCATACCATCACCTTTGTGACACAAGTACTTAACATATGACAAAAACGACTTACCTTCTCTGAGACTTTAGTTTCAATATCTACAAATGGTAACATTAATTAAATTAAATTAACTAAAGGATAATAACACTTGTGTATATAAAATACTTTGTAAAACTTAAGGTGCTACACAAATATCCCAGTGATGATGCCTATTTTCAGGTACCATTAACTTAGGTTAAATACTAACAAAGGCCCAAAGGATGCTTCAGTTCACTTTGAAGATTGATTCATTCTTCATCTAAAAACCTTAGTGTTTGTAATCTCTTCAAATTACGTCACTGGGTTTTACTTCAAATTAAATCAATGTAATACATGGTATTAATATAACTAAATTAGAACTATGAATAGATAATGAAGCCAGGAAATACATAAAAGTTTCACTGTATATATGTAAGATTAATTTGAACCATATCAAATGACTCCTTTCTTTGATAGTTTCAAAAGAGTGTCAGAACTATAACTACCAAATTTTTTCACCTGAGACAAAAACATTTTGGGGGATGGGGAAGGTGGCAGCAATAGCATCACAGAAGGCAGTCTTACTAAAGGAGAGTTGTGTCAGGAGATGAGGCAGTCTGATCCTAGAGTCCAACTTGTGTCTCTGTAAAGAGCAAGTGCCAGAGGCGGGCTGCTAAGGAAGGGGAAGGAAGTCAGAGAGAAAGAAGGACAGCAGGGATTTTATGGTGATGGGATCCTGAGAATGGTGAATGGGGACGGATAAAGGAACAGGGTCTTACTAGGTAGCATAGACCAGCACAGAACCATGAGGCTTGGGGACAGAAGTGTCTAGACTATCACAGGGAAGAAGTCTGCTTCCATGTCAGTGACCACAGGAGAAGCCCCAGCTACCCAGTCCTAGTTATATCTGTAATTTGTGTTAAACAAGCAATTAAAAAAAAATTATAAATTTATAAAGTAATTCTACAAACCTGTTTCATCTAATTTTCTTTTTACTATCAACTATTTAACAAATCACAAAACTTACAATACTAACCTTACATCTATGTGCCAAAAGGGTCTGGTAGCTGATGTGATGTCATGAGGGCACGAACTAGAACATCAATTTACCATAAGAAACTGAGACCCAGTTTAACGGGAACTAAAAACAGAAAAAAACATAAAAATGCTTATTTATAAGAACTCAGTGACAGAAGAGAGTTGTCTAATATCTGCGTTTTATATATGGAAATAGAGAAGGCTTTTCCTTGCTTGCACTGGCTTTCTACAATGGCTTTTATCGGCCACTATTAAGGTGAATAGAAATTCCAGGTAGCTTTAGTTGGTTTGGTTATAGATTAATATTAGTATTGGGATTGACTGGACAGTACTAACATAAGACTTACAGAGAAAAGGGAAGGAGTTATCTTCCTTTCCTCCCAATCTCCCTTCCTGTTTATGGATGGAATGTGAAAAGTTAAGGATACAGGGAAATTGGGAAAGGAGTATGAACAGTTTGTACCTGCCAGAAGGTGTGGAATTTAAGCTGCCAAAAGACATGTTCATTCACACATTTCACAACTGTCTTATTAAATGCCTACTATCTGCAATGTGCTATTAGTAGCACACAAAGATAAAACTACTCCTCCAACTTTTCCTAATTCTGTTGAGGGCATCACCACCCTTCTAGTCATTCCAGTTCCCTTCATCAAGGATATCCATAACTCTTCTTTTCATTGATGTCCTCATTCAAATAGTTCCCAAGTTTTTCAGCTCTATCTTCTTTTGCAATTGTCATCTCTTTTCTCCACTCTGAGTCAACCACTCCTCCAGTTCAAACCTTCATTATCTTTTTTTTTTTCTGGACTGATAGAATAGCCTCCAATTTGTTTCCCTCCTTTCATTTTCTTCCCATTTCCAATTCATTCTTCACACTACTGCCCAAATAACGCTAAGGCATAAGTCTAACCATATCATGTAGCCTTACTCATGAGTAGCTTCCTATTGCTTCTAGAATAAAGGGCAAATTCTCGAGCATGGCACTGAAGACTCTCCAAAATCTGGCTCTAGCTGCTCCTTCCAGACTTATTTCAATTATTTCTCTTCATTTAGTCTACCTTCTGCTCAAACCAGTCAACATTTGTTCCTTGAATTTAGCACTCCTTGGCCTCTCTGTCTTTGCACAAGCTATCCCTCCATGGCGGGAATGCATCCTCTCCTCATCTCTACCTTTCCCCATTTCCCCATTCAAGGCTCACCTTCATGCTACCACCTATAGGATGTTTCTTCTCATCTCCCTAGTTTCTAATGTCAAATTACTTTGTATTTATTTATATGTTTACATATCATAGCACTCAGTAGAATATAAGCCATTTGAGGGCAAAGAGGGAGGCATCATAGTATAGTGACAGTAGAGGACCTTCAGTCAGAAGTTCTAGGTTTCAAATGACACCTCTGACACTTATTACTTGTATGACTTTGGGCAAATCACTTAAGCTCCCAAGGCCTCAGTTGCCTTCTCTGTAAAATGAAGGGGTTGGATTAGGTGGCTTTTGAGGTCCTTCCAGTTCTAAAGAATCTACCTATAATTCTATGACCGCTTTTTCATTTTTGTTTTTGTATCCCTGGTGCCTAGTATAGTGTTTTGCACACAGAAGGGCTTAATAAGTAAATGATGAATTGAAGTTCATAAATATCCTTTTCATCAGTTGCTCCCAAAGGAATCCGAAAGGCTTTTGGTTCAAAAATTTGATAAGCATGCCATCTGTGTACCTTTACTAAGTTATGCCGAGTGTCCCAAAAGTCTTAGTGCAGTCTTAAGCTGGAATAGCTTTAACAGCTTAAAACTGCACAAAGGCTTTTGGAACACCCTGTATATAAACAGTACCGGGTCAAACACAATTCTTGGGAATTCTAAGAGAGAACTCCTTCCAAAATATTCCTGCTATAGTCCTAGCCTTTCAGCAGATTCCCGTGAGAGTAACTGATAAAAAGAATATTTATGAACTTTGTGATGTTTCAGGTGAAGTGGGTTCTTAAAACCAATCTCCTAGAACAGCAAAAAACTTCGATAATAATGAATTTTTTTTAAGGGAGTGGGGAGGGTGGACCAGGAGGTGTCAGGATTTAATTAGCATTTCCGCTCCCAAGAGAAAAGAGGAGCCTGGGGTTTCTCATACTAGTTCTTAGCCAGTTAATTTCCCCAGCTTCTCCCGCAGCCCGAGGGGATCAGAGGGAGCAGGAGATGGGGACACCCCCCCGGGGGGGTTGGGCGCGGCTGGGGAAGCAGGGGAGCCGTTAGGCTCAGGCTCAGCTCCGCCGGTGCTGGACAGCTCCGGGGGCCGCAGGGCGGAGCTGGGGGCGCGGGGACCGAGGAGCCCAGCCCTCCCGTACCCGAGCCGGAGCGGACCGCGACCTCCTCCCCAGACAGAGGCGGAGCGAAGGCGGGGAGGGCTCAGGTGCCGCCCCCCGCCCCAGTTTCGGGGCTTCCCTGCCCTCCGAGCCTTGGGGGGCGGCTCCCGGACCTCCGGCTCCAGCCTCCCCACCGACCCCCAGCCCTCCCTCCGCCCCCCAACCAGCAACCTCCGCGGTCGCCCCAGGCCCGTCCGGCTCGAAGCCGACGGGGTCCAGGAGGAGACGCCCGCCCGCCCGCGCCCACCGACCAAATGACTCCGGCGTTGTCCGTCGGTCTGTCCGCGGCCCGGGAGCTAGAGCAACCTAGTCCGTGCGGAGCCGAACCCGCGGCTCTACCGCTGCCCAGCAGCGAGACGCGCCGAGCCGGCTAGAGAAGCCCCAGCGGAGGCTGACGCTGCGCCGCCCGGGGGCCGACGGGATACCTGGCTGAACTCCCGGAGGACGAGGGAGAAGAAAGGGAGGGAGGGGAGGAGGGAAGGGGACCAGTGAGGAGGTGAAGGGGAGGGGGAAGGAAAGGGAGGGGGGGGAGAGAAAGGAGAGGAAGGGAAGAAGGATGAGATGAGAGGAGTGGGAAAGGGAGGAGAGGAAGAAGAGGAGAGAACGGAAAGGGGATGAAAGAGGACGAGAGGAAGGGGGGAGGGAGGACGGGCTGTCTGGTGGAACTCTGTGAGAGGCTACGAACTTTTAACTCTTTTCGTTCTAAATCATGAATCTCATTTTCCCGCAAATCCTCCTCTGTGGCCGCCTTTGCACTGAAGCCTGCAAGTTTGGTTTGGAGTCTGGCGACTTCATCCCGGAATTCACAGATACTGACAGTCCTTGCCCGGACCTGACTTTCGGCCGGGGAAGGGAACCACGTGCTCACGGAGAAGTGAAAACGTGCGCCTCGCACAGAGAAACGCGTCGGGGCGTTAGGGGAGGTCGGGGGGCTTGTGTTTATGAGGGATGTTGCAAAGTGGGGCCCAGGTCCTCTGCCAGCTTTACTGCCGAGGGGGCCAGGCACCCGGCCCAGCCCTGGGGATCCAAAGAAAGGAAAACAAAACCAGGAGGGAGACGTCGTGCAAACAATCGTGTGCAAACGAGACATATACAGGATAAATTGAAGATGATCTCCGGTACTTCATTATATTTTCTGATTACTTTTATAGGGAGGATGACTATTAATATGGTTCAGTTCTTGAAGCATAGGCTTCTTGGTTATAACACAGACCAACAGTTAAATTAGTGTTTGCTGACTGTCCAAAATCTGTGATTGTAGTACCTTCTACTTCGATTTCTAGCACTCGACCATCACTGCAGTGTGGCTGAGGAGGACTGAGGACTTTTTAGAAATTTTCTTTGCCTAGTGTCCTACTGAGGACTAGTGTTCTAGCCTACTGATGATGAACCTTTCCTGGCTTACCTAGGCTGGCATCTCTCATGTACTCTTTCTCCAGACTAAACCTCCACAGTTGCTCCAGTCCTTTTATAGATGTTTTCCAGACTTCTCATTGTTTTGGTTTTCTTCTATTTGGCCTTAAAATGTGGTGCCCAGAATTTGAGTACCTCATATATCAGGGCAGAATCCAATGGAACTAACATCCCTTTTGCTCTCAATGCAGCTTAGGTCACCCTGGCTCCTATATCACCCTGTTAACTGATATTGAGCTTACAGTCTTCTAAATCTTTTTCATATGAAATGTTGTCTAGTCCTGTCATTCCCATTCGGTGTTTGTGAAATTGCTTTTTTGAAACCAAGTGTAGAACTCGACATTTCTTCCTATTTCAATTTCATCACATTAGATTGTTTTCATTGCTCAATCCTTGCTGAGGTATTTTTGGATCCTGACTCTGTCATCATCAACATGTTAACTATTACTCCTAGTTATATACCATTTGCAAATCTGACAAGCATGTCTAATATGCCTTTATCTAAGTCATTGATTAAAAAAATAGATCAAAGGCTTTAGAGCCCTCCTCCAAGGTGATGACTACTCATTGGATCTATTTAACCAGTTCCAAAATTATCTCACTGTACTATCAGTCACCTAACCTAGATCTTTTCTTGAAATCTAGAAATGTTTGTCAGATACATAAACCTTAGTTAACATGTGATCTGTGTACCAAGGGCCCAGACACTTTTAGGTATTTTAAAAATTACATTTCCCTTGGTCTGAGCCCTCATCCGGAAAATAAATGATCTATTTACAGTAAAATCCAAAAGGCCAGCACCACCTCCTCTTTTTATTGACTGGCCACAGTCAGTCAATAAACATTTATTTAGCACCTACTATGTGCCTGGCAGGTAGCTGGCAAAGTGGATAGTATGCCAGACCTGGAGTCAGGAAGCCTCATCTTCTTAAATTCAAATCTGGCCTCAGACTCTTACTAGCTGTGTGACCCTGGGCAAGTCACTTAACCCTATTTGCCTTCATTCCCTTATTTGTAAATGAGCTGGAGTAGGAAATGGCAAATTACTCCAGTATCTCTGCTAAGAAAACTCCAAATAGGGGCTAGGTGGCACAGTGGATAGAGCTCTGGCCTTGGAGTCAGGAGGATCAGAGTTCAAATCCTATAGCAGACACATAACACTCACTAGCTGTGTGACTGGGCAAGTCACTTAACCCCAATTGCCTCACCCAAAAAAAATTACAAAAGAAAAAAAAAGAGAACCCCAAATGGAGTCACAAAGAGTCAGACACGACTGAAAAACAACTGAACAACAACATGTGCCAGGCACTGTTCTAAGTGCTAGGGACACAAATAAAAACCAAGACAGTTCCTGCCCTAAAGGCGCCTGTAGACTAATTGGGACAGACAACGGATAATTTATTTAAAGCAGTTTAAGGGAAAATTCAAAAATTAGCAGAAACCCCAATCTACAATATATCAGGATGTATTCTTTCTCCAAGGGTCACTTATAGGTGAAACACCAATAGCCTTTACATACCAGTCTCCCATGTGTTGTAGTTCTGGGGTCCTCTTGTCTTAAGGCTCTTTCTGCATTCAGGTAGGGACTTATTTAAGGCCACATTCTTTTTGTCACTCCTACAGGACACTCTTATGTTCTTTTGGTTTGTCCTGGTTTTGTCACTGAGTTATGTCTGTGCATGGGGAGACAGATGGTGGTTGTACAGATCCTGACCCTGCAATCACCTCAGCCTGGTATGTCCAGATGATCTCTACATCACATCCTACTTGGTGTATCCTCCAGAGGACCACACCCTGATTCTGTAAGAGTTGCCAGACCATGTTGATTGATCCTCAGTTCACTTCCATGAAGATTCTGGGAGTATGTTATATAAATAAAATAAATGGAAATAATGCTTTCTGATAACCACCATGTATAGACAGTTATTCAGAAACACAAATCTCAAGATGGGCAAAAAAAACAAAAAGTGAATACCTTAGCTTACTGGTAGCTTGTGCCCCCATTAGGGGAAACAGAAGTTGGCATATACCTCATTACTTTCAGGAAAAAGAGGAAGTCTTTCTCCTTCCATCAATTATCTAGAAGCAGCTTATTTATCTTCCCTAGGGAGGGAGAAAGTTTTTTGGAATAACTCAACAAAGTACCAAATATACAAGTGAAAGCTTCTTATTCTCCAAGACCAAATTCATTCTGGTCCATGACTGAAGGGAACTTCTTTACTAGTCAGTCAAAAGTTTGCTCTAGAAAATTCAGGCAAACCTTAGGTGATCTTGGGTATAGAGGCAAAGTTATTTCTTATAGATCCACTGAGCCCAAACCCCTAGGCTTGAGCCAGATCCACAGTTCTTCACGTGTGTGGGGTGAATTTTCATTTAGGTATCTACTTTGTGTACATGGTACTTAAATTATTTAGTTATGTTTCTCCCACCCCCACCTCTGGTTCTGACAATGATTCCTTTCACCTTCAATCCACCCAAAGAAATTTGCCATACCATTATTTCATAGATATACTTTTTACCAAATCACTACTGGGCTCAAAAACCTGATCTGAATTCCTCTGTCTTGGGTTTCAAGGCCTTTCTTAATTTGGCCCCACCCTACTTATCCAACCATATTCTCCCATCAGGAAATATCATGGTGTAGTGGAAGGCTAGTCAGAGGACCTGAGCTATCCTGGCTGTTACTTATTATGTGTTACTTTGGCAATGTCTTCCAATCTCTCTGGGTTTTCACTGCTTCATCTATAAAATGAGGGGATTGAACTAGATATCTGAGAAGATACTTTTCAGCTCCTCATTTATGATCTTATGATCAACAGTAGTCTAATCCTTAACATGTACTTGAATCAGATGAATTTCTTCATTGTAGGCCAAGCACATTCCCTTACCTTTGCTCATATTATGCCCCTTGCCTATGGTGTCCTCCTCTGCTCATCCAAATCCCACCTAATTTAGCAGGGGCAGCCCAAATCACCTCTCTTTTAGGATGCCTTCTCTGGTTATTCCCTCTCTCACATTAATTCAACAAATATTATGTGCCTACTAGGTATAAGGCATTATGCTAGATTTTTAAAAAAATGGTACTGCCCCCAGTGAGCTCATACTGTAAGATACAAAATGCTTTAAGAAAAATTGAGGAGGGAAAGATGACTTTTAGCTGGGGGAATTAGGGAAGGCTTTGATGGAGTGATACCTGCACTGGGTCTTGAATTGAGAGGACTATTTCAAGACAAAAAGATGTGGAGAGAGTGTGTTTCACATATGGAAGATAGCCTGCATACATTTAAGGTAGTGGGAGAATGCAGAACAAGATAAATAGTGAATAGTCCAATATTGCCAGAATGTAGAGTGTGTGAAGGGTAGTAATCTGAAATAAGATTGGAAAGTTAGGTTGCAGCCAGATTATGTAAAGCCTTAAAAGCTAAAAAAGTTTGCTCCAGGCAATAGAGAACTGTCGTAATTGAGTGACATGATCAGACCTATGCTTTAGAAAGATTATTTTGGCAACTATTTGAAAGTAAGATTGAAGAGGGAGTTAACTATAGAGACAAAAAGATCAGCCAGGGGACTCATATTAGTCTGGGAGAGAATTGAAAAGTGCCTCAACTAGGGTAAAGGCACTGAGTGAAGGTAGGGAAAATCTCTTTTGCTTTCCCTTCTCTGAACTCCTACAGCATTTAGTTTGTATACCCTATCATGGGAACTAGGAACCATACTGTAATGTTTGATAACTGTCTTAGTCATCTCCCTAGCTAAATTGTGAACTCGGTCAGAGACTACTCTTATTTCTCAGTACCCCAGAGTGCTTAGCACCTAACACATACTCAATAAATACTTGTTGATCAATAGACAAGTTCCAAGGCAACTGGAAGAAAAGTGGTCTCTCTATTCATTTCTGTCTAGAATGTGCTACTTGTCCGTCCTTTCTAAATGACAATAGAAAATTTTTACATGCAAATTTGGAAACAGATTCAGAGGTTAAAAGTCAACACCAAATTCAGAAAGTGGAGGCAGATGCAGTAACTGTAATTAGAATCAGAATTTTAGAAGTGAAAGGGACATTGGAGAATTAGAACCTTGTGTTCTCCAAGTGCTATACTATTACTTAGACAATATTGATTTAAGAGATCTATCCTATTTGCTGAATTTTCCTTTCAGTCATGAGACATCACTTATTTACTTGTCAAATCCTTGGTCTTCTGTCAAAAAGATTAGTTTATTCCACAAAGAAAAGAATGCCAAGCACTTTAACTCAAACATTTAAGTTGAAAAAAGTCTTGAACCAAATTTCAATTTGGAATTTATTAACCAGAGTATGTACTACTGTAAGACATGCAAGGGATAAGCAGACAAAAGAGCTAACTTAATGAAAAAGAAATTTTTTTCTTTTAGTAATGTTTGTCATTGGCCTAATGGCAACTTGGCAAAACCTATTAAGCCATAATTATAAGGGTAAGGAGACTGAAACTAGGAAATTCCAACTCAGTTTGAATGTCTTCCCGGAATGCAAGGTAGTCCTTTCCTGGACTTCAAAGCACATACACAATATTCACAGATATCAAGTTTGACTGTCCTTTGAGGTCTTAGTCACTTAGCTACCTCTGTTACCATCATAATTGCTGTAGTTGACACCCATGGGCTCTTCATACACTGAAACTTCTGTCCTGATAGTCACTTTTGGGTACTTCTACTGCAGTGAAAGTAACTATAGGGGAACTTCTGGCACCATGAAGCACCCCTACACTTCCCCAAGTAGCAGCAAGAACAGAGAGCCCTTTTCAAGGGTGTAGCAGAAAAGCTGGTACCTAGGGCTACACTTCATGGACCAGGACCCAGGCGTAAACCCCAGGCTACCTACCAGATGTCCAGGCGCTATTCAAAAAATAACAAGATGAAAACTTACTTATGAATACTCAGTTGTCACAGGAAAGACCTTTACAAGGCTCACTAAAATCTGTTTTGTGTCTATTTGTACTCAATCCACGCGTATTTGTTCAATCTACTTTGCATAAGGTTGATTTCTGATGTTTCATTATTTTTGTGATTGTTTTGTGGCTTCTTTGATTTCTCCAAATTCCTCTTGAAATTGCTTTGTTAAATCTGCAAGATCAACAACATGTTTATTAAATAAGAATTTCCCTAGGTATTTTGTCAAGGTTATGTTGTTCCTGAAATTTTAGATTTGGATAAAAACAATCCAATATAGTAAAAGTATATATTTACCAAAAATGACAATCTAATTAGAGTTAAAAGTATCTGTTAAAGTGACAAAAAAGTTTCTTGGGCACCATCTTATGGAAAGACCTTAGAAATACAGAAAAGAGATCTTTACATTAGTATGTTATAATTCAGCAATATTAAGCAGCACTTACCACCTGCAAGGCACTAGAGATACAAAATAAAAATATGAAAATGTTAGCATTTTATTGAAGAATACAACATATACATAAATAGGTGTTATACAAGGTAATGTGAGGATGGAGAGACTGCTTACAACTGGCAGGAGTGGAGGGTAGTCAGGAAAGGGTTCATGATAGGAAATACCTGCCTAGGCCAAGTCTTTTTTTGACCAGGGGAGTGATAACATGAACCTATACCCTATGAAGATTATTTTGGTAGTTGTGTAGATGATAGATTGGAAAGGGGACAAATTGGAAGCAGAAGAAATCAGAAAGCTATTATAGTGGAGATGAGAAATAATGTCTAAATCTAAAACTAGGATGGTGTAGCATACAAATGGAAAATGATACATGCATGAGTTGTGTAGGTGGAATCAATAGGACAGGACCGCTGATGTATTATGGGGATTGGAGGAGGTGAAAACAAGCATCATTTTAAAATACCTACTACATGCCAGTCACTGTGCTAAGTACTTACTTAAAGATAACTGAGTAATGAACCTGGCTGACTGGTAGGATGATGGTCATGTTCACAGAAATTATGGAGTTTTGAGGAAGGGGGGAAATGGCTTTTGGGTTTTTTTTGGGGGGGGTAAGGGAAAAGATCAGTTCTGTTTTAGGGATGTTGTTTGAAATATTACCTTAGAGCCAACGAAACTGTGTGACTGCCACATATTTGGCTTGCTGTGCCTTCTTGATTACAGGGCTACGTTTGTTAGGTTTTTTGTTTTTTTTTTCAACTGCTGTCCTTCCTTTATGAATAGGCAATTGCTAGCAAAAAACTAAATCAGGGAAGGCTGTAAATTTGTGAGCTAAAAGCCATGTGGTCTTTTTACCAAACAACGTACATACCTCAAGACCATTTCCCTAACCAGTGGTCAAGTTATTTAGACATGAAAATAATTCCCTTAACACTCCTCAAGGTCATACTGATTTTTTATTTGCCTATTCATCTATGCAACTTTCCATTCCAAGTCCTGGGTTCTTGTGACCTAGCCTGGGAACAAACTACCATTTTATGTAATGTACATTGTTTTAAATAATAATGAACAGTATTTATTGGTAGTAGTTTCTTTTTCAACTATTTCAATTTTATAAACAAAATTTGAATACATCTTTTTAAAAAAATGGAATGTCATAATTCTTTTAAAACTACTTCCTGGGGCAGCTAGGTGGCGCAGTGGATAGAGCACCAGCCCTGAAGTTAGGAGGACCTGAGTTCAAATCCGGCCTCAGACCAAACACTTGACACTTAACTAGCTGTGTGACCCTGGGCATCAGTTAACCCCAATTGCCTAAAAAAGCAAAAAAACCCCAAACTACTTCCTTATGTCTATATATAATATCCTATATTTTCAAATAGGTTGTTTTCCAAAACAGTCTTACCAGGAATAAGGATGTAAATTGATTCTGAAAGTGGTTGCTGGCCCACTTTTAAGGGACATTAGTGAGTAAGGGCACTAGTTCTTTATTATGTTTATTTCATTATTTTATTATTTTAATTCCAAAAATGGCTTTCTTTCTCCCCTGGATATAGGGTGTCATTAGCATAACACTTTGAGACCTCTTTAGTTTCTTAAAGGAAAAAGAATCCTGGCACTGAGATATTTCATAGGGAATTTGTAGAGGTAGGACTGGATGGTTTTTTTGTATACTGACTTCTTACCCACAGTTCTCTAATACATTTATAGGAAAAAAAAATCTTTGGGATCAGAGAAACAAGATAGTAAGTAAACAAATCCTTAGTTTAGCTTATTTGAATAAAAACATTCTGCAGGCTAAAAGTGTACTCATTGTCCAGCCCCAGCAGATTACAACATAATCACTAAAATACATTTTGCTTATACATTTGTAAACTACTAATTTAACACAGGGTATTATCTGTTGCTGCATAAATGAATGCTGTCTGGGAAATAAAAAGAAATTAAGTAGTTCATTCAGATTTCTCAAATAGTTCTTTATTCCTTGAAACAATATGATGGTCATGATTACTTTAAAAAAGCATTTTCAAATTTAACTTACATTAAAGTAGCATGTTCATACAGAAATATTTATAAGCAGTGTGAAATAAAGTGACATTAAACTAGAAAATTTTCACACCATATTTGAGCAATGAACAGGAGCAAATTTTCCATTCAATTTTAATAATCCCGTGTACAGACAATTCTCTTGAGGACAGTCATTTGTACCAAGAGAATACAACTTTAAGAAATTTGATGTAGTTAAAAAACCTTTATTTTTAAAAAAATTACTTATTTTTTACTTTTTGGAATAGGTTAGAAGAGATTCAATATCCTGAAGGATTTCTGAAGTTTTCTTCAATGCTACTGATACACTCTTTTTATTCACTTCTTCAAAAAAGCTACAGGCTTCTGAAGATCTTGATTTAGAAATATCGGAAGACTGCTCATTTTTCTTAGCAGAAATCTGATTTAGGACACTGTCATTCTCCAATAAAACTAAGTTATTTAATTAAGGAACTCTTTCTTTTGTAAACATTTCATTTTTAGAAGTCTTTTGACTAGCAAACTGCTTCTGAAACTTATGGTTTTGTTTGACTTTTATGTAATACAGAAACTTTCAAAGAGGTTGAAAGAAAATCTATGAAATCTGTTTACAATTCTTGCTGTGGAAAAAATACTGGATTTAGTGTCAGAAGAAGTGGGTTTGAATCTCAGCTCTACCATTTGTGTGACAGGCAAATCATTCCTTCATCTGGACCTTAGTTTCCTCCAAATGAGGGAATTAATAGTACTAGGTGATCTTTAAAGTCCTTTTCAGGATCATAAAATCCAATAAAATGCTAATGACAGCATTAAGTTTAGAGTCACATTCAAAAAGTATCAATTCAGCCTAGTTTGAAAAGGTAGAAGTGATGTACAATAAGAATTTATTTTGAAAGGATACAGTTAAATTTCTGTATTTTTTCAAGTTCAGAAGTAACAGACCTGCAACAAAGGAGAAAAAAGAATAAATTAAGATCAAATGGGGTAATATTTGTAGCAGTGCTTAACACAGTAGGTGCTTAATAAATGCTCTTCCTCTTGTGCCCTCCCTTTAAAGTTTACAACAAAAAGGTTGTATGGTTATTTCACTAATGTATTTTTGTCCAATTTTACTTACACTAAGTTTCAAATATATTAGATATTACCACTGTTTTTCTAAGGAGTCATAAGTACGTAGTTTTGAATACAACAAATCTATTATCATTAACTATTACTTGATACATCTTTTTTTATTATCTAACTTTTTCAAGCAGACTGTGAATTCTGTGAGGGCAGGTTTTATATGCCCTTGCATCCTCAGGAGTGACATATAGAGGGGTTTGCAGGAACGATAAAATAACTAATATCTGGGAAGACTAATACCTCAAGAAATGCATTGCTGTGAACAGTAAAATTTTCTAGATAAGGGCAGAAGTGTCAGAACTTTTAAAAACCTTTCTGATGGAAATCTTTCCAAAAGGTACACTTTCTTTTTGTTAATAGGATCTAAGAAACGATCTTTTCATTGATCTTTTCAGGTTTATAAAGTACCAACTATTGTGATGCAATATTAATGCAAAGTGAGACTTAGGGCTGAATGGATACTGATACGAGTATCTGTTGGAACTTGATTTAAAAAAAAATCTTAAATTTCAATTTTACTACTCAATTATATGCTGCTTTCTCATAAAGGACAGAGTGAAGAGAAATCAGATCTTTAAAGACACAATTCAGGTGGCCATTTGCCTGTATTGTATTTCTTCACTGATGCCTCTCTATGTTTCTCCACAGCAGACTAATCCAATTCATTGTCTGGTACTCAGCATTGTTGTTTCCAACACTGCCCATTACTGCCATCTCTAGGGCAAGTAGTAGTGCAGTGGATACATTACTGAGCTTGAAACCAGGAAGGCTCATCTTCATGAATTCAAATCTGGCCTCAAATACTTACTAGCTGTGTGACCCTGGGCAAATTACTTAATAGATGAGTTCTTCATCTGTAAAATGATCTGGAGAAGGAAATGGCAAATCACTCCAGTATCTTTGCCAAGAAAATCCCAAATGGAGTCAAAGAGTTGGATAGGGCTGAAATGATTCAACTACAAACTGCCACTCCGCTGATTTTTTTTCAAGTTTTTTTCTTATCTCTTTTGTCTCCTGTAATTTTTCATATGTCTGGTGCCCCCCCAAATTGCATCTTTTATAGCTATCTAGTTAATTCAAAGTATTCCTTTCCTTTTGAATGACTGATCGATTTTAATATTTTAGTTGTAATCTATGGGTCTTTAGTTCTTATTTGTCTTTATTTTTTGCTGGTTGCTGAGGATGGTGGTGGGGAGAATGAGAAGAGAGGGGAGCAGGTTTCTTTGCTACCAAAAAGGTTCTTTTTTCCAGCTACTTCTGGATTCACAGAACCTACAAAAGGCTGTATCCTGAGTAGAGAAGGTTTTACTGGGTGAAAACTCAACAAATTTGGTGATTTCTTTTATTTTGACCTACTAACAGCAGGTGATTTACCTATCATATGGGAAGAATTAAGTCTGTGTTTGCACTCCCTATCACCACTCTAGTTTAGGTCCAAAGGATCTCACGATGGAATTACTGCGAAAACTCTTCTACCTGGTATTGCTGAATCCAATGTCACCTTTCCAACCCACCTTTCATCTTCCTGCTAGAATAATCTTCAACAACAATAAGCCCATCAATGAATATCATATTTTTGCTCAAGAAACTTTATTGATATTTCATTCAAATTCCTCTATCTGGCTTTTAAGGTTTTCCCATCATCTCTTGCAACCTTTTCTATCTAATCTTACCTCCACCTCCTAATTAGACCCTACCATGAAACCTTCACTCCAGTTAAGCTGTTCACTTATCCTCATAGGCCATGCTCATTTTGTTCCTCTCACCTTCAAAAGAATACCTTTTCCTCTCCACCTATTCAAATCTTATCTTCAAGGCCAAGTGAATTCTCTATGAAACTTCACTCAATTTCTCTGGCCCAGGCCGATTTCTTCCTTCTCAACTCCTAGTGTACCTAACTCTCCTCTAATAGTTCTACTGGTGTTTGTCTTGCCTTTCTAACTAGAGAAAAACTATAAGTAAGACAGCAGGAAGAAGGACCCTATCTCCTATTTCTTTTGCATCATCTAAAGCTCCTGTAAAAATGCTGGGCAAAGAGCTCAATACTGGTTGATTTACTGATTTATTTTATTTTAGGACAATCACATCAAAGTCTTTAAGAACATTTGGTACTTCAACAAGTATCCCCAATGAAGGCAAAATGTATGTAATCATATGATCACAGGATCTGGAACTGAAAAGAACTTTAGATTTCTGGTCTGAAACCCTTAGTCTTTAGATTATGTTTTTATAATCTCTTAAATTTTGGCATAACAAATGATAACACAGTGTGTCACATAGCTTTATGTTACCAAGCATTTTAGTATGAGGACTCCATTGCTAAGTTATGTCAAATGATAATATTAACACTTCTGTTTAAAACTAGTTCTATATTTTTGAAGCTCAATGAGCTGTGAGAAATGATAAGACAACCAGATTTAAATTAAGACTAACAGATAATTTACTCAGGGAAAGGAAAAAACCCTTCCCTAGTTTCAGAAATTCAGATTTTCAAGCTTTCAGTATTGTCTATGTTCCCTAGACAAATAAAGTACATAGAAAATTAGCATGAATACCAGTTTTCTTCAGTAATGGGTGATGATGGAGGATATGTGAAGATTTCCTGTGGATTAGTCTGAGTCAGACTCCTGCACCAAGCTATTACTGTTGCCACATATCTAGGTTGAATACAAGAAATTAGGAAAGGAAATCATTGAAGCCATCTATTTCAGAGATAAAGTGTTAAGTGGGAAATTTTCTAAAATTTTAAACTGTATCAAAATGTAAATTTAATTCAACTTTTATTTTTATGCCTACATTTTCACCAGGAAAAAAAATAACTTGAAATATCTAACAAATTCTGTTTAAGAATAAAAATAAAGTTGATACCTGGATTCCCTGAAACAGAAAGTCCAGTTACACTTATAAGGCATCCTCTCCAAGCAAAATAAATTTCAATTTAATTTCAATTTTTAAAAAAATATATATTTTTATAAAAGCTTTACACAAAAAAACTTTTAATAAAAGCTTACTTGAATATATAAAATTTAAAAATTAAGAAATTTTCAATCAGTGCATATAAGTATCAGTAATACATGACTCATTGAATTTATCAAATAAATGTGGAGATATGGCCTTAAAGACTGTTTGGACAAGGTATTAATTTTTTAAAACAGTAATGGCATCCAGCTACTTCTTTTGATCTGGAGGATGCCAGTCTCGAACACCAACAAATACTAAAACTAAAACAACGTCAGCAGGGAAAAAAGGTAGATAAGCATTCTCTTGTGACTACTTAAAATGTATACACTTTTAAAACAGGATATAAATGCAATTACTAATGGCATTATGTAGGCTAAAAAGAGCTAAGGCATAATTTTAGTAAGATGACTTCAGGAATCTTTCTCCATTGTGACTAATAGAATAACAACACCTAAGTGGCCAATTTAACTTGTAGAAATTTCAGTCCATTCCTTCCAATATCTAACTCTGCCCTTTTTTCTACAAAAATAGGCAAACTGAATTATGTAAAGTTTTGCTTATTTAGAAGTTCTAATAAATCTCATATTTCAAAATGATGAACTGGTAGCAAAACACAGATTACTTATACCTAGTAGCTTGATGAAGACCATTCCCCTTCTCTTATGTTGAAAACTAAGTGGGATTCATAAAGCTTTGATTTTGGCAAGACCAATCTGTTCAGTTATACTATCTGCCAACATAAAAGAAGGCTCTGCTACCTTAATGAAATGCTTTCTTTTACCAATATCTACTTTGAGAAGCTGTTAACATCTGGATGATAAACTTGTTTTTGATAGACAAGTAAAAAAATTATTAATATTTCATTTTCTAAAATGAATATATAGAAAAGATAGGTTTTACTGCAGTACCTTTCAAATTGTCCAGGATGTTCAATTTGAATTAACTGACCTTGTCCATCTGGAAGAGTTAATTTACACCAACCTAAGGCAACACCTTGATTTACCTTAAGAAAAGGGGAGGAGAAAGATAAAAAAGCCTCATCTAAAGCTGAAAAAATACTCCTACTTTATGTAAATACCAATAAAGAAATAATCAGTAAGTAAGCGAATCAGCAGAGAATTAGAAGATAATTTAAATGCAATTAATGCTTTCACCTGGGATGTAGACACTATTTTGGCAAATTATCTTTGCATTGAGATAAAAAACTAACAAAGAGAAGTAAAATGAAGTTAATTCAATTTATTACCAAAAGAAATCAAGAAAGCATAGTCCCTTCCATGGCTTCTGTATTTTATAAAGGAAGCCAAGTTAACACTACAATGTTTCTTTATTTTTTGTATTTTGTAGAAGAATGGACACTACTTGTCCACATTTCAATTATGAATAACTTATGAATAACAATAGTAAAAGCTAGCATTTATAGAGAGCACTTTAAAGTTTGCAAAGTATTTTAACAAATTATTTCATTTGATTCTCACAAGAAATCCTGGGAGGCAGGTGCTATTATTATCTTCATTTTACAAATGAGGAAACTGGGCAGATAGAGGTCAAAAGTGACTTAATCTAGACCACATAGTTAGTAAGAGTTGAAGTAAAATTTGAATCCAGGTCCAATGAAAGGATGTTTGAAAAATTATTTTGTAATTAAATACTGAAAACAATTTGTCATAGAAATAGGTTATAAGCAATGTTTAGATCTTCAGTTGCCCACAGAAGATTATTTAACCTGCTGAATTACAATACTGTAGTTTTGCATATGGGAAAATGAATCCCAAGTTATACCTTGAAAGTTGGAATACCAGGAATATTTTCTCTGCCACTGTCCCAGTCTCTAAAAGAGAACCCCTTTCTCTCTTCCACCCCATATAGAAGACAGAATCACATCCTCTCCCTTCTTTTTGCTGCTCCAGAGAAGGAGAAGCCACCCCTCTCCCCGAATGTGCTAATGCCAAGGAAGAGGGGTTTCAATGGCATTTGCTGAAGAGTAAGGCTACAGAGGCACAGGCTAGAGGTTTTTGATAGCTAGGTTTCTATTGAAAGATAATAGTGGGGAAAGGTGTCTTATATTTTTACATACCCAATGTTGAAGACACATAGACTGCTGAATATCCAGAATAAAAAAGAAAGACTTCCCTGAAATATATTTACCTGTCTCTTTCTGAAGAAAGAACTGAAGTTCCAAATTAGGGTTAGGGAAATACCATCCAAAAAAACAGCAAATACTTTATCATCAGAGTATACAAAAAAACTTCCTATCATGGGAATGAGTGTTTCCCTCAAAAGCACTGGCATATTCCCTTTATTTGATCCAGAAACCTAAAACCATGTAAATTAAGAAAAGAAAAGTAGTTATTCATGAACAAGATTTAAATAATCAACTATAAAGCATTTTAACATTTTTGTCAGTATCCTGAACTTTTTTATACTTCAATGGATCCATAATCTCATTAGTTGTCATTAATGTAGATTGTGCCTTTTCAGCTTCTATGATTTTTGTTCAAATTGTACCATAACAGTCTCCAAAGAGCCATTCAACTTTCTCAAAGCCTTCCAAGGGCTTTTTTGAGTACTCTATGACCCTAGGTTCTTGAAAGCTGTTGCAGCAAAGTATAGGCCTTGGTTTGTTCCAATGATGGAAAAAACTATATGCTAACTGAACATCAGGCCCACTCAAGATGTAGAGGCTTAACTGATAACATATAAAAATGTTTAAAATAGCTCTTTTTGTAGGGGCAAAGGCCTGGAAACTAAAGGGGGGCCCATCAATTTTAATTGGGGAATGGCCAAACAAGTTATGATATATGATAAAAGAACAGTACTGTGTAATTAGAAATGATGAAAGGTATAGTTTCAGAGAAACCTAGGGAGTCTTGTATGAACTAATACAGAGTGAAGATGGCAGAACCAGAACAATTTATACAATAACAGCATTGTAAATAACTTGGAAAGACTCACGAACTCTGATCACACAATGGCTAGTCATGATTCCAAAGAACTGATGAAAGTGATGGGCTCAAGAACCAGAAATGGGACAAATATTTTTAGAAATAACAAATGAAGGGACTGGTTTTACTTGACCATGCATATTTGTTAAAAGGTTTTTTTCAGTGGTGGGGTTTGTGAGACAGAAAATAAAGCTCTTTCATAAAAAAAAATTTTTTTTAAAGCTTTTAAAAAAGAGGCTTAACAACAAAAGGCTGGCAACTCATGGAACAGATAAAATTCAGGAGACTCAATCTTGTTTGGTCCCTTTTCTGCTCCTGTCGTGAGAGTGGTAAAAAAGCACAGAATGCTAATAATCACAGTTCTTAGACCATCTATGAATGTTAATTTATCTTATTATTCTTAATTTATGACCTTTGTACAATCACAAATTGTCTAAATAGTCAAACACTACTGGAGTAACTTGAACAACATCCAGATTGAAATTCTTGCTATAAATGAAAACTAAAGACATGAATCATAGTTAAATGAAAGGGTCACCTAATAATAGGTTTTCCTCAGAGATGTGAATAAAGGAGTTGGTAGCAGGTTTCACAGTGTTCAAAGATAAGAAGAAACATCATTTCATGGAACATTTGGTTATCTTGGGAGGCAGTGCTCATGATGAATTTATATGCAGAGAGAGACTGCCAGGATAATAATTCTTAGTTATTGTACCAATTTTTGTCAGAGACAATGATAATGTACAGGAGATGTAAGAAGAATGACATAACATCCTCTGAGTTATGTCAAAAAATTGACTGGTATTTCTAGTGTAAAGATGACACATAGGGATGTATGGCAAAAACTATCATGAAGACTCCAAAGAAAGACCTATAGAGCTACTCAGATGTCTCAAGCCTGTTGTGGGTAAAATTGTTGGTGGTGACACAAATTAGAACTAGAACCCAAACCCAGTACCATAAATTTAGGAACCAACAAGGGTTTATTGAGTTTGCCACAAAGAGAGAACTCCCCACACACAGAGACTCCCTGAGGGAACAAAAGGATGAAGCTTATATAGATTTCAATTTGGCCAGGAAGTGAACTGGGTATGGAGTATCTTAGGATTGCCGGGGGTAGTGAGGAAGGAAGAGCAGATGTGATATCCTTTGACTGGATAGGCTTGCTGCTGGGCTAGTAACAGAAAAGGCTCTTATTCAGGTTAGCTATCTCATGTAATCCCACCCCAATAGATAGGACCATTTTTGCTGTTTCAGCAATGAAAACTGAATACAGGGTGGGGGTTCAAACAAGGTCAAGGCCAAGATAGGGAATTGTAGACAAAACAGAGTTGTTTTAGCTTTTTTCCCCTACTCAATTCCTCTCTTATACGGTCATAACTACTTTTTTAAAAAGTTTTTATTGACATTTCGTTTTTATATTGCCTATAAAAATCAACTTTCTCTCCTTCCCATGTCCCCAACACTGAAAAAGCAAAAAATCAAACGCCTTATAACAAGTGTGTATGTATAGTGTCTCATTCTGTAACAAGTCCATCACCTGTCAAGAGCTGGGTAAGACTTCATCATTGGTCTTCTGGAATCATGGTTGGTCATTGCATTGAACAAAGCTTTCAAGGCCTTCACAGCTGTTTGTTTTTACAAGGTTGTTACTGTATACATTGTTTTCTTTCTGTTCACTTCACTCTTCATCTCATATAAGCTCTAATGAGATGAAATAGGTTAACTTAGGATAACCAACTCCATTTCATTTTAAGCCTCTATTTTATGACTGAGATATTTGAGTTGTTTTGCTGTTAGGTTTTCAATAAGGTAAACACTTGTGCGGTATAGTTTGAGAATGCGTGTATCCATAACAACTGACAAAACATGTAAAACCCCAGATGTGACAGACTATTAATGAGAAAATACTGTAAAGAATTTTTGTCAATAGTTTATATAACTATCTACCAATCAAATTATGTGGGAGATAAATTAGGTAACAGACCACCAATCAGAACTTGAGAGCAATCAGTTAATACCCCTAGCTAGAACCACAAAAGCAGGCTGGAAGTCTCAGTCATCTGCCTGTTCCCTAACAACTAAGATAAACTCCTGCATTCTCTAAACAGCAATGTTTGCTTGAGAGCAGTACTGACTGATGGAGACTAGCCAGATAAACACCTAACAGAGACACACACATATAGCCTCCAATTGGACATTGAGGGCACTTTGTTGTGAGTGCTGGTATGAGACACACTTACTCGGACTTCTAAGAATCAGGTTGTTGATATATTCCTAGAGGGGTTGATGTTTTATTGTCAAAGAAATAACTACACATTATAGATTACTAACGTCTGACATCATGCATTCATTAGTGTTAAGTCTGATTTAGTGCTTCTGTTGCACTAATCAACATATGTAATGGAAAATCAGTTTAGAGCATGAACTGTAGGTTACACAAGCTTTGTGACGCTTCACTGAAACTGTCCCTTTTAATATTTCTTACAATATTGTATCACATTCACATACCATAATTTGTTCAGCCATTCCCTAGCTGATGAGCATCACCACCTAAATTTCTGGTTCTTTGCTACTACAAAAACAACTCCTATTAATATTTTTTTGTACATAGTGGTCCTTTCCCGCTTTCTTTGATCTCTTTGGGGCGTGGATCTGATAATTGTATTGCTTGAGGCATAGTTTCAAATTGCTCTTTAGAATGGCTCAATTCATGGTTCCACCAATGTGCAATTAATGTACCTATTTTGCCATAGCCCTTCCAACATTTATCATTTTCTCTTTTTTTTGTTAACCTCACCAATATGATGGGTATGAGTTAGAAGCTCAGAGTTCCTTTAATTTGCATTTTTCTGATTATTAATGATTTGGAGCATTTTTTCATATGGCTAATCTCTGTAAGAGTGAGAAGTGAAATATGGCAAGCACTAAACACCATCACAAAATATGTACTGACTATATCATAACAGGGATAAGCTGACTGGTCATTAGTTTGGGAGTCATTTCCAAATAAGTTGTCTGAAATAAAAAAAATGGAAAACAACAACAAATAAGTTATCTGTGTGAAGTCAAGACCATCAACTGGTCTTGAAGGTCAAAATTTAGTCTAAATCAGGATAAAAATGAGAAGTTACCAAGTTTGATAACAGTAGTTCCTACTCAATCTATTCAAACAAGCTGTAGACTTTGAAAAATGAAAAATTCAAAAGATATTATTTAACTACCAGTTTTCATAATAAGGGTGAAAGATCCTAAACACTGTCTCACATAAAAAACATTTGCTCTCTTTTGTTTAGTGGAAAAACACGGAAGCCAAGTGCAATAAATATTTGGAGCCCAAGTTTATTTGTAAAATATTATGGAGGATTATGATTGAATTATGAACATTATCACCTTAAAAATAGCAAAAAACAATTGAGGAGAAAATGACCTTGAAGACAACTATGTATGAAACTCAAATAAGTCATATTATCCTGAGGTGACTGTGATTGAAACTAGAAGAAAAGCCAATGTGAAAAAAATACAGTTCCACCAGCATTTCAAGTGTTTTATTCTTCTTGGTAATGGTAATGATCATTACCAGGAGGCCCAGAAGCTGTTCTATACAGACTCTACATCTCAGTGTTTGATACATTAGGTAAGGAAATGGCAATAGCACTTAGAATATAAAATGGGACCAGTGGTTAGACCTAACTAAATACACCTAGATGGAATTTGAATTGGAGACAAAACAATTTTAAGGGTACCAAGAGATGTTTATTTCCAAAATATCTCCAAGAGGAGAAGATTCTAAAATAGAAGAGATCAGAGGCGGTAGAAGGCACTTTGCTTTAAGGAGGACTAAGGAAATTATTTTGTTCTGCTGAGCCAAGTACATACCATTTTCCAGCAGCATATATTATAGTTATGGCTTAAAGAAAGTCTAATTTTGACACAATGTTGAAGAATTCTGCAAACATGAAAAAAATTAGTTAAATATAAGCAACTTAAATGGTATATTCTAGATCTTAGTAGTAGCTTTATTCATAGCACCATGCAACATTTTAGCTCAAAAGCAATACTTACTTGCATTAGAGTTTGTCATAACCTTTCTTTCCCCCATGGATATTTAAGGCCCTAGAAGAGAGCCACTGTTGCTGCCTTTTCATTTAATATCTGTTAGGGTGCATTCCTGTTAGATTTCCTTGATTATTAAAAAAAAAAATTTGGTTTGGATCTGTGATTTCTTTAGTATGAGAAGCTTCCAGCAAAGCAACTCTCTCCAACAATGCTGACTGGCTACTTATCTATAATTTCTACACTTGCCTGAACAGTTGTTTGAGGTACTGAGAGGTTAAGCGACTTGTCAACAGTCACAGAACCAGCATCGGTTAGAGGAATGATCTAGAGTCAGGTCTTCCTGAGTCCAAGGCTTGCTCTGTCTCTCCTAAGCTGTGCTACCTCTCAATTTCCTTGATAGCTGTGCTGAAGGTTTTAGTCTCATCTATGACGTGATTCCAAATTGGACTAGTCAATCAGATACTTATGTCTTTAAGGAAGAGCCACAGAGTCAGCTAAAGGGAAGTCCCAGTAGCTAAAATATAGCAATGCCCATACACAGTAGGAACAGTACTCTCAAAGCACCTTTAGCCTTCTTTATGCTAGAGTTTACTGATCAGGAGAAAAATATCAATGTAAGGCATAAATAGGTCTCTGAGACTTCCATTACCTTAGGTCTCTTCCTAATTGAAGCTATACATGGCAGAAAGAAGATGTAAAGATGCACCTATGTCCTAGGCATGTGGGTATTTTCCTACTGGGATGCCTAAAAGAAAGTATTTTTTGGTTCAAAAATATACCTAGTCATTGAAAGTTAGAGCTTAAAGAGATAAGAAATCAGTGACTCTAGACCTTTATTTATGGAGAAAACAGAAAGGTAAAGTTGCTTACCCAAGATTACACAGTTTCACACTACCAACTCCTAATCTTATTCCTTAAGTAAAAGAAAACGTACTAGTAGAAAGTGCATAGCTTACCTGGTAGCCTGTGTAATGAGGGAACACACAGAGTATGGACTTCCTGGTCTATCAGGAGGAAGGTTTCTGATTGAATACATTTTCTCTTCTCTCTAAAAACATGTTTAGAAATAAACTAGTTCTAAATTGGTACAACTATTGACACTTTAAAAAAACGTGATTATTAGGCCATCACCATTCTTTCTACATTTGACAGAAAATGAAGTTTTTTTATCAAAGTTCATAAATACAAGGCATTATTAACATTTTCTCCTTCATTTTTCGATAGCTAACAAAACAATAAATCAAGCCCTGATTTGTAGTGTTGGCCGATTTCAGAGGTATAAATGGTCACGCTGAAAATTTAACAATTGGCTCTTGTAAGCTGGTATGAGCAAACTCCAATATACCCCTGGGACATATCCAGCGCTAGTCACAGATATTATTTCAAAAGGACTTTTTATTTTTATCTTTTTTCTATTTAAAATTTTGGAATGATAATCAAATGTGAATATTCTCCACGGTTCTGTCCTAGGACCTTTTCTCCTGCTACACTCTCTTGGCAACGTCACATTTCCCATTTGGGTTTAATTACCTCTTTATGCAGATGACTTATCTCTCTATATTCCAATATTTCTCCAACTGCTTAATTGGAAATTTCAAACTATCTGGATATCTCAAACTCAACATATGCAAACTCAACTCACTATCTTTTCTCCTACAACTCTCCCTCTTTCCAAACTTCACTACTTCTGTGGGAGGCCCCACCAGTTCCCAGTCTCCTACATTCTTAATTCTCCCTCACTCTGCAAAACCAATCAGTTGCTCAATCTAGATCTTCCTACTTCTACAACATCTCTTCCATGTGATTCTCTATCCTCACACAACTACCATCTTAGCTTACTGCAGCAGCCTAATTGGTCTCCCCGACTCAAGCTGCTCCCCACTTGAGTTCCTCCAAGTCACTGCTGCTGAAGTGATCTTTGTAGGTTTGAGCGTGTTACATCCTTACTGAAATCAACTCCAGTGCCTCTCTTTTGTCTTGCTAAACTCCTAGGTTTGGCTTTGAAAGCCCTTCACAGTCTGTCCCCCGACCTATATTCCAGCTTCGATGGATATCATTCTCTCCCTTGCTCTATACAATACAGCCAAAATAGCCTTCTCTCTGGATAAAACATTCTATACTTCCAGTTTCCATGCTTTCACAATGGCCATCCCCCCACAGTTGGAACGTACTCTTTTCTCATTTTGTCCATACAGAATGTCTCTCTTTCTTCAAGAAGTAGCTCAAACATCAACTACATTAAGCCTTTCTTGCTCTCCCCTAATTGTTAGTATCCTCCCAAACCAATCACTTTGCACTTATATTTTTGAAAAACTTTAAATCACAGCTTACTAAAATCCATTTATCCCATAGTATGTTTTCTCCTCAACCCTTTCTATTTAAACACAAAAGTCAATTTAATGTATAGGGAGAATATAACTTTAATTGAACAAGACAGCAAAATTGCTCTGTTATAGTTGAACTTCGTATAAAAGGAGACATATGTTATTACATTTTACAGACAAGAATACTGCTTATATCTGTGGCAGATATAGTGGCGCAGTAGATAAAAGTGCTGGACTTGGATCAAACCCTGCCTCAGAAACTTCCCAGCTGTGTAACCCAGGGCAAGTCAATTAACTTTTGTGTCTGCTTCAGCTTCCCCATCTGTAAAATGGGGATAATACATGTAAAGCACTTTGCAAACTTAAAATGCTATTTAAATATTAACTATTGTTATTATACACCATAATATTTTACTTTTTTCTCATTCCTGTTTACACACTACATAGGTTAAGACTGACTTAATTTTCAACTGTTTTTCTCACTGGCTTTACTAAGCAATTTATCCCATTTTCCATTCTGTTGTAGATGGTAGGAAAATTCTATTCATTATGATCCATCCTGCAAAGAGAAGTGGGACACTATAATGATGTCCCTTAAGGACCAGACATCAAACGCCAGCCTCCTGGGTAAATTAAAGCCCATCACTTAAACATATTTGAGCATATTATGCCTAGTAAGCCCAATTACTTAATCTTCCACCAGCACTAAGCATGACCTCTGCACTGTTCATGCATTCACTTGTTCAGTAAATTTAAAAGCGCAAAATATTAAAATCTATTGATGTTTAAAAAATTGTAACCAATTAGTTTACATAAGAACAACATGATACATATTTTGAGCAAGTGAACACCGGAAATAGTATGGAGTCAAAGTGCTAAAGTACTGTTGGTTTCCACTTCTTTTGTTTATAAACTTTCATCACATAAAGAAACATAGAAGAAATATAGAATATCTATGTTTTAAACCAAGATTGCACAGGCAAATCAAGTACAGTGGGATGAAAGTGCACTGTCGGTGAGCTGCCAAGAATGAAGTGTGTCTACGCTAACAATGAGAACATACATAGTCTACGCCATGACTAGGTAATATAACATGACATACTGAATTGCAAAACAATTTATTTCATTTGCAATTTAAAAGTCCAAACAAAACTACAAGTATCAGAAATATCTACTCAACCAACAGTGTTGTTGTATGGAGATAATAATTATAGACCTACTTGTTCTGATTCTTTGTGCACTGAAGAGAATGTAAAATAGTTCCCCAAAAACGTTCCTTCTGATTTGAAAATGGATCCATCACCAGGAAAAATTTCTATCGAGTTTACAGTTTCATGAGAAAGTCTAGAGAAGATTAATGTTAAATCAAAATTAAATTTTTTTTCTATACATATGAATAAAGTTAGCCATGCAAAAAACAATTCTTTGCTCTGCCAGGAAGAATGGAATTTTGATTAAAAAAGGACATTTTTCCACTTTAGTTTAAATTTGGTTAATTTTTTTTTAAATGATCAAACTGCACCGCCTGAGTATCTTACCTAAATACTGTACCTTTGTACCATACTACTTTTACTAGCTCAGGATAGGTATATTCTTGTTCTTGTAAAGATGAATTAGAGAAATTCCACCTGTTACAAAATAAAAACAAACATGGAATTATTTATAGTGGTACACTATATGTTTACCTGAAAAAGTTAACATAACACTATAATCACATAATGATTTCCTCTCCTAAATTTAGAGCATGAAAAATGAAACTAAATTTACAAAAGAAAATTCCACTGGAAAAATATTTATCTAAACTTAACTTCTTTGATGATTTTCTGTGTTATCATCATAATAAATCCTAATACAATTAATTACACAGACAAGATAATTCAGCCTGGTGTGAAATTATAATGACCAAAGTTGGCAATAAAGAGGAGACATGAGAATGCACCACCTTCCCTTCTTTGTAGAGGTGAGTAGACCACAGATTTGGAATAACATAATCAGATTTGGTTCAAAGTGGAACTTTCCTCCCTCTTTTGTATTCTTTGTTTTAAAAGAGGGGAGAGAAATACTGGAGAATATAAGTGATATAAAAATTAAATGTATCAATTTTTAAAAAATCAGTTTAGATTGTTAAATTACTTTAAGTTTCTTTTGATGAATTCTTTTATTTGAAGAATCTCAAAACTTTTGATCCGTTATTGTCATAAGCATCAACCAACATTCAGGGGCTTTAAAGTAGCTCCTGTAGTGTTTCTGTGATAAAATGATGAACTTTCTTCAGGTTTAATCATCATCATGACATGTCTCTTTTAACACTGCTGATAGGTAGGCATTCAACCATCTACACATCTTTCCTTGTGAAAGAGCACTGGATTTGGTATGACCCTGGACAAGGCACAACTTGAGACTCAAGTTTCCTCATCTGTAAAATGGGGTAATAATACACACATATTACTTCAAAGAGTTGTTATAAGGAGTAAAAAACATAACATGTATGATGCTTTAACTATAAAGCATTATTATTTTTGACATGAAGATGTGTTAAGAGTCTGAGGCTAAGAATGAATGGTATGGAATAGTTATCTGGTTTGGGATTTTTTTTTTTTGGTACAAAGCTAACTGGACTTAAGAGGACAGCTAGGTGGCTCAGTGGATAGAATGCTGGGCTTGGAATCAGGAAGACTCATATTCCTGAGTTCAAATCTAGCCTCAGACACTTCCTAGCTGTGTTACTCTGGGCAAGTCACTTAACTCTTCTGGCCTCATCTATAAAATGAGCAGGAGAAGGAAATGGCAAGTTACTCCAATATCTTTGCCTAGGAAATAACCAATGGGGTCATGAGAGCCAAAAATGACTGAAAAACAAACTGAACTCTACTGGGAGTGAATCTGCGTTTATGGTCTAAATAACTATATAAACAGCTTAATTGAAAATGAATAAACTAAAAAATAGTGACATATGAAAAAAATTCTTTAAAAAAACAAATTTTATTATATCCATTTTAAGATTTGAAAATTAATATTAGGTATTTTAGAATTTTTCAAAATATGAATATATAAAGTTAGTTTTGACAGTAGACCTTTTCTAAAAAGCAAGTGATTCTTTCATTACCTGTGCAGATGTGGATTATGACAGTTGAGGGGAAGAACTCTGGGAAGAACAGAAACCTCTTCACCTTCCTTTGAAATATCAGATGCTAAAACTGTGATCTGTTTAACATTCTGGTCAGCTTTCGATAGTTTATTAAATTTCTGAAGAAAGTCAAGTGCCAAAGACACAGGATACTTCCATTCTTCTGGACAGGAGTCCATAGACCAGTGCTGCTTTACCCACGTGTACACAAAGGTGTATTTCTTGTAAGACAAAGATGCCATCTTTTCCCCTTTGGATTCATTTATAAAATTATTTGCTCCTAATAATTCCTTGGATTTGACGATTTGGCAGTGCAAATCATTTTCCTTATTCGTCAAGCTTTGTCTGTCAGAAGTTTTTCTAAATATACAGTTTTTGCTTGCTTTTTCACACTGTTTATCCACTTTCTTTAGACTATTATTCTTTTTTTCTGATAGTGCCATTAGTGAGTGAGACCTCTGGCTGATTTTGCATAAAAAATGTATAGTAAATTCATGTTGTTGTTTTGGTAGGCAAAGATAAGCATGACCATCTAAAGATGAAATCTTCACAGTGCCATCATCCATACAAATCACTGCATCATTTGTACCACGACTAGGCCACCTGACTTCTGAGATATCAATGAAAACAGACTGTTTAAAAAAAAATAAAATAAGGACTATAGTAAACATTTTCTGTAAGCAATTCAACTCTCATTTATTTAGTGCTGGTGGTACAGACAATATTAGAATTAGAATGACAAACAATTAGAATTAGAATACAGACAAAATTAGAACTTAGGAGACGAAAGGCCTTGCCCCAGTGACAATCAATCCCCTGATAGATGCTTATAAAGGAAAGACTGGGACCAACTCAGCTTCTATTCTAGAGCCCAACTCACTGTCCCTGCCCTGGTAATACAGGCCACTGTATGCCACCTAAAACCTCAGGGCTCTGAATAAGTCTCTTCCAACTCTGTACTCATGGCTTAAGCCTACACAATTCCTCCCTATACTTTCATTCCAGCTGATCCCAGTATTACTCCTAGACCCTTTGTTAGTGTCCCTCTACTAATTTTTTTCTTTTGGATCCCCTGCCTTTAAGCCAGCACAGTCTTCCATCCATGAACACTTCCTTTTATAATCCTTCCATTTTCTTAGGGCAACTAAAATTTCACTTTTCAGGAAAGATCTCACAACTCTCTTCAATGCTAATGCTTGCTTGCTTGCTCTCTCTCTCAGGAATCTCCTCTGCCCTGCCACCATTGACAGTTAAAGGGGCTAAGAGGAAATGATGGCATACTGCTTACACCCTACTATCACTTGTAGAACATAATTCTGCCACCATAATGCAACAACCTTTTCTTTTATCAAAGACCCAGCAAAGACTTGCTACAATCAAAAGTTATCTAGTCCAACCTCCTTCATTTTGCAGATAAGAAAACTGAGGATCCCATAAAAATAACTTGAAGGTAGTGTAAGTAGTAAGTGGTAGATCTAAGATTTTAATGTGGGTACCATAACTCTAATCTCAGTACCACTGTGTCACACGGGCTTAAGTTCACACCACTGACTCTACAACCCTTTCCCCAGACTTGGTTCCTATCATCTCCTGCCCTCCAGAGTACTCTCCTGAAATCTTCAGTCTTCCTCTCCTCTTTCTTGATAACTAACATTCTCCCTTCTAACTACCTTCTAAACACACTGGTCTCACAACTGTTATCTCCATCTTCACCTTACTTGCGGCACCCACCAAGATAAGTCATATTCTAGACTTCATTATCATTCAAACTGCTCACTGCCAAGATTATAACTGTAAAATTCCCTTTTCAGATAACCATGTCTTCTCTTTTTAACAAGTCCACAGAATACAGTTCTAGGGAGGCAGAGCCAAGATGGCGGAGTGAAAGCAGTGATTTGCTTGAGCTCTCCCCCAAACCCCTCCAAATACCTATAAAAAAATGGCTCTAAACAAATTCTAAAGCAGCAGAATGCACAAAAAGACAGAATGAAACAAATTTCCAGCCCAAGACAACCTGGTTGGTTGATCAGAAAGGTGTATCGCGCCGGGCTAGGAGAAGAGCACAGTTCAGTGTGGGCACTGAAGCAGCAGTGAACCTGCAGCAGGCCTCAGAGGACTGAATCGCAGGCAGCTGTGGCAGTTTCCAGACCTCTTAACCCACTAACGCCAAAGAAAACTTAGAAGGTCAATGGGAAAAGTCGTTTCTGAAGTGTGAGAGAAGCTAGGTCTCAGCCCCAGTTCCTGAAAGCCTGGCCCCAGGGCGGCGACTGCCTCCTGAGCTTCTGGCCCACAGACTGAGGGGGAATCCAGTGGCTGATCAGAGGGGGACTGCAGGGATCTCTTTGCCAGTGCTGAGGCAGGAATCTCTTGCTTTGACCATGCTTGGATCTGGGTCACAGTTCTGAGTGGTGGTCCTGGGGCAAGGAGGAGTGCTGGTGTGGTGGACCTTGTAGTGGCTGTGAAGAGAAAATCCTCCTCAGTTCCAAGACAGAAAAGAGAGCTTGTAGTCACTTATAGACCAGAGCACAGGCCAGGAAAGGAGTAAACACCTTGCCCCTTATTATACCACCCTGGAAGAAATGAAAATTTACAGGTCCTAGAGTATCTCTAAAAACAGCTGTACAAACCCCCAAAGGTTGGGACAGTACATTCTCCACATTGGAAGCAGAACTTTACCTTAATAAAGAGTTTATAACTCAAGTAATTGGCTGGGATCATGAGCAAACCTCTCAAGAAGTGTCAGTCCATAGAATCTTCTTTTGGTAACAAAGAAGATCAAAACATACAACCAGAAGAAGACAGCAAAGTCAAAGCTCCTACATCCAAAGCCTCCAAGAAAATTATGAATCAGTCCCAGGCCTTGGAAGAGCTCAAAAAGGATTTTGAGAAGCAAGTAAGAGAAGTAGAGGAAAAACTGGGAAGAGAAATGAGAGTGATGCAAGGAAATCATGAAAAACAAGTCAACAGCTTGCTAAAGGAGACCCAAAAAAATACTGAAGAAAAAGGAACACCTTAAAAAATAGCCTAACCCAAATCCCAAATGGCAAAAGAGGTCCAAAAAGCCAACGAGGAGAAGAATGCCCTAAAAAGCAAAATTGGCCAAATGGAAAAGAAAGTCCAAAAGATTACTGAAGAAAATACTTCCTTATGTAAATGTAAAGCCTATATCAGATTGTGTGCCATCTTGGGGAGGGTGGGGGGGAAGAAGGGGGAGAAAAATTTTCAACTCAAAAGAATATGGAAGTGATTGTTGATAAATCAAAATAAATAAAATTTAAAAAAGAAAAAAAATACTTCCTTAAAAATAAGAATAGAGCAATTGGAAGATAGTGACTTTATGAGAAATCAAGACACTGTAAAACAAATCCAAAAGAATGAAAAATTAGAAAACAATGTGAAATATCTCATTGGAAAAACAACAGACCTGGAAACACAGGTGCAGGAGAGATAATTTAAAAATTATTGGACTATCTGAAAGCCATGATCAAAAAGAGTCTAGCCATTATCTTTCAAGCAATTATCTTATCACGAAAAACTGCCCTGATATTTTAGAACCAGGGGGCAAAATTGAAAGTGAAAGAATCCACGGATTACCTCCTGCAAGAGATCCCCAAAGGAAAACTCCTAGGAATATTGTAGCCAAATTCCAGAGTTCCCAGGTCAAGGAGAAAATATTACAAGCAGCTAGAATAAAACAATTCAAGTATTGTGGAAACACAATCGGGATAACACAAGATTTAGCAGCTTCTACATTAAGGGACTGGAGGACATGGAAGATAATATTCCGGAGGGCAAAGGAGATAGGATTACAACCAAGAATCAACCTACCCAGCAAAACTGAGTATAAATCCTTCAGGGGAAAAAACGGTCATTCAGTGAAATAAATAGAGGACTTTCAAGCATTCTTGATGAAAAGACCACAGCTGAATAGAAAATATGACTTTCAAATACAAGACTCAAGTGGAACATGAAGAGGTAAACAGGAAAGAGAAATCATAAGAGACTTATTAAGATTGAACTGTTTACATTCCTGCATGGAAAAATGACATTTATAACTCATGAGACCTTTGTCAGTATTAGGGTAGTTGGAGGGGAAAAATTATATGTATGTAGATAGATAGATAGAGGGCACAGGGTGAGCTGAAGATGAAGGGGTCATATCTAGAGAATAAAATTAAGGAGTGAGAGAGGATTATACTGGGAGAAGGAGAAAAGGAGAGGTAGAACGGGGTAAATTATCTCACAAAAAAAAACAGAAAAGAAAAGGCTCTTACAGTGGAGGGGAACCAGGGAAAGGTGAGAGGGAATGAGTGAATCTTATTCTCATAGGATTTGGCTTAAGGAGGGAATAACATACACACTCAATTGGGTATGGAAATCTGTCTTACCCTACAGGAAAACAGGGGGAGAAGGAGACAAGAGAACAAAGGAATGATAGAGAGGGGAGACTGGGGGGTAATCAGAAGCAAACACTTCTGAGGAGGGACAGGGTCAAAAGAAAGAATAAATGGGGGAAGGGCGGGATAGGATTAAGGGAAATAGAGTTAGTTTTTCACAACATGACTACTGTGGAAGTATTTTGCATAACTGCACATATATAACCTATATTGAGTTGCTTGCCTTTTCAGTGAGGGTGGGTGGGGAGGGAGGAAGAGAGAAAATTTGGAATCCAAAGTTTTAAAAACACATGTTTAAAAAAATGTTTTCACATGCAACTAGGAAATAAGAAATACAGGAAATGGGGCACAGAAATCTATCCTGCCCTACAGAAAATAGAAGGGGAAAGGGGGAGAGATAGAAGGGAGGGCAGGCTAGGGGAAGGGATATTCAGAATGCATGCCATCTTGGGGTGGGGGAGGGGTGAGTTGGGGTGAAAATTTGGAACTCAAAATCTTGCGGAAGTAAATGTTGAAAACTAAAAATAAATAAATTAAAAACCAAAATAAAACAAACAACCAAGTCCACGGCTTCACTTCTGAACCTGTACTTTACCTCAAGCATGAAGTCAATTTTCTCTCAGTCCAACATGTCTGCCGCCCAGCTTCTTTTCCTTTTCTTCAGTCTTAAATGGCCATTTCAACAATATGATCTTCTCCACTCTTAAATCCCTCATCCTTCTGTACTATGTCCTATTGGATAACCAATTCCTGCTCCACTTCTCTTCCCAAATAGCTTAGCCACTGGTAGAGATATGATCCCATCCCTTCCTGTTCCCTCTGGGAACAGTAATCTTTAAAAGACTGACTCATTCTGGACATGTGCATGAAAACTTCTAGGTCTTTTCTAGATGAAGTGCTATCTAGATAAGCCTTTCTCATCTTACATTTGTGATGATTTCTGAACCCAAGTGTAACTTTTCACATTTATCTCTATTAAATTCCATCATTAAGTTTATTACAGCATTGTAGCTTGTGGAGTTCTTTTGGATCCTGACTCAGTTTTCTATGTCAGCTATCCAACCTAGACTTTGTGCCTTCTACAAAAGCAGCTGTGCCTTTATCTAAGTCATTAATCAAAATGTTAATCACAAATCTGGAGTATTCTACCAGAGGCCTCTTTCCAAGCTGATACTGAACCATTTATGACTCTTTGGGTCTAGCTATTTAACTAATTCCAAATCCACCTAACTGTACTATTGTCTAGCCTACAAATCTTTTCCCATCTTTTCCATAAGAATTGCATGAGAAATTTTTAACACAATCTTTGCCGTGGCAGCTAGGTGGCACAATAGATAGCGTATCAGCCCTGGAGTTAAGAGGACTCAAGAGTTCAAATGCGGTCTTAAGACACTTGACACTACTAGCTATGTGACCCTAGGCAAGTCACTTAGTCACTTAAACCCAATTGCCTAGCAAAAAACAAAAACACAACAATAAAAAAACACCTTTGTTAAAACCTAAGTAACCTAACTAAACTTTTCTAATCTTATCTCGAATCTACCAGTTTAATAACTCTAGTTAAAAAATGGAAATGAGGCTAGTCTAGCATGAACTGTTTTTGAAGAAATCATGTTGGCTCTTTATGAGATGTTCACTAGCCATCATTTTTTTTAAGAATGCATTCTACAATTTTTTCAGGAAAGGTCTTCTCTCACAGTCAAGTTCCCTGACCTATAGTTTACAGACTCCACTTTCCTCTTTTTTTTTACGTCAAGACAGTTGCCCTGCAACACTTACCTCTTTTGTCCTCTAAGAGCTTTCCTGCTACATCTTTTAGTAATCTGGGATATAGTTCATTTGCAGCAGCTGGGAGCCTGAACTTACCAAAAACATGTGAAAATGACCTGAATCTGTATGCCTAACAAAATACTTAATTTTGTTGCTACCTTCTTCCCCATGTCTACAAATAAGTATTTTAAAAGCAAAAAAAAATTTTTTTAAACTCTCTTTTGATGCCACTTTCTTTTCACCTTCATTTCTAAACTTTTACAAAGAATTGCCTACACTTGTTGTATCCACTTCCTTAACACTAACCCAACTCAACTCCCTGTAATATGGGTTCCAGCTACTAAAATTGCTTTCTCCAAATTTAGCAACAGTCACCTAAATACCAGATTTAAAGGCTTCTTGTTAGTCTTCATCGTTCTTTTCTACAACATCTGATACTATGGACAATCCTCTTCTTGATTTTCTTTTCTCCCTTGGGTTCCAAGACTTTGCTATTTCTTGCTTCTCTTTCTCAGTGAGTTATCTTTTCAGTGTCTTTCTCTAATTACTCTTCCTCCCCGAAAAGTACTGTGTTTGGCCCCCTTCTGTTCTCTACTTCGCAATCTTATCTGTTGTTATGGTTTCAATGATTAACTTTATAGAGTTCATTCCCAAATTGATTCCTACTGCTTAGTCCCTTCCCCCGAGCTCCAGTTCTGAATTTCCAATTTCCTGTTCTACCTACATATATGTACCTCTACATGTCAACACTTTAAATGTTTGAAACTGAACTCATCTTTTTTCCCTGCAAAATCTACTCATTCTCTTAATTATCAAGTTTCTGTTAAAAATACCAACCTTCTTCTAGATGTCTTGCATATATATCTCAGCATCATTTTTGACTCATACCCACACCTTCCCCTTCCCGCCAACAATCCAATTAATTGCTTAGTCACAGCAATCAGGTCCACTCACACTGGCCAACACGGTGGGAGAGCAAGACAAAGAGAGAAAGGGGGGAACAATCAGGTTAATATGGTGGACTCACCAGCAGAGGGACAGGACTTTCAAGGTGCAGTTGCAAGAGGCAACACAGAGGAGAATCAAAGAGGGAAGAGGTGGAAGAGGAACCTGAAGAGAACAGCCCAATTTAGTCATACTGGGCAACTGCTACAAGGAGGAGAAGGGTTACATAGCAATGGGATAGGAGAGGTACACGATCCTTCAGGAAAAAGATGGGGGAAGTTGCATAGTAGGGCAGAATGCTGGCTTCTCTAACCTAATTACAGATACACTTGAAGGAGATGCCCTAACAATCTTTGGAACAATTCCTCTTAACACGGGGAATAACAGCATGAGCAACAGCAGGAAAATGCAGGGCATGTTCAGGAGACAGGACTGGCCGCTTGAGCTGGCATGCAGATTGCATGGAAGGGAGAAATAATAATGAAGGTAAATTTTCTTCTCTCTCAGGTTCCAATGGGTCAATCTCTGATACCTAATAAGCCAACTATAACATATAGCAACAATTACTTTAGAACCAATTTGGTACTTTAGAACCAATATCCCCCAATAAGCCCTAAGTTCACAAATGAGTGATTCAAATGTCACAATGGCCTTCCAGAAAATAGTGTTTTTAAGAAACACTAGCCTATGTTTTTCTTTTGACAGGACCTTTGACATTTCACAGAATACTAACTGCCTATTGTGGACATTTTACTTTAAGATCTTGAACCTTGGGGCAGCTAGGTGGAGCAGTAGATAGGGCTCCAGCCCTGGAGTCAGGAGAACCTGAGTGCAAACCTGGCCTCAGACACTTGACACTTACTAGCTGTGTGACCCTAGGCAAGTCACTTAACCCCAAATGCCTTGCCAAAAAAAAAAAAATCGAACCTCAAACTAAACATGTCCAAACTGAACTCGACTTGCCCCCAAACCTACCTTTTCTGCTTATCTTTCTATTTGTTTACTCTTATTCTTCCAATCACCAAGAATTAAAAACAGTAGTTATCTTTCCTTCTTCCTTTCCCATATCAATGGACCAAAACATATCCATCCTTTCTTCTCAGCATCTCTCTCAACCATCTGCTCCTTTTCATTGTTACTGCTACAAATCTATCTCACAGTTATAGTGGGGCTCAAATGAGAATATATGGAAAGTGCTTTGAAAACCTTAAAGTACTATATATCTCTATCAACAGTTTAGAGATAGATAGATATAGATACATACCAACTAATGATTATCATCATTACATTGGTTCAATTCTCCATTATCTCTTGATAAGACCACTGTCTTTCCCACCTCCAATCCATCCCCATACACTGATTCCTAACTAATCCTAACACATATTTCTAATTATCATTACTCTGTTAAAAAATTTTCAAGAGTTTCTCATTGTCTATCAAATATGAAGTCCAAACTCCTTGACCTGACATTTTAGGGCTTCCACAATCTGACTGTAACCTGAACTTGGATTCAGAGGACCCAAGTTTCAGTTCTGGTTTTGTTATATACTGCCTGTGTGACCTTAGGTAAATCAATTGATCCTTCTGGGGCTCAGTTTCTTTAGCTATAAAATAAGAGATTTAAAGTAGAAAATTTCTATAAAGGTCCTTTTAGAGCTACATTTAAAACTTCTTTTAGCTCTAAATTCTAGGATATTATCTTCCTATATTTATCTCAAGCTACCCTCTTCCTATATTTTTGGCTTCAGACTTAACAGTAAACCATTCAAACTGTCTCAAACTAGTTGCACCCTACACTATTCTCCATGTCTTTATCTTATTTCTTATGTCTGGAATGAACTTTTCCCATCAGCCGTTGCAGAAACTCTACTTAATACCCACAAGCCTCCTTCTTTATGAAAGGTTTCCTGACCTTTTCTTTGAACTCTCATTCCACTTTGTACCTCTCACACATTGATCAGGTTTTAATCTGTACTATATTTACTTGTGTCCATCTTATTTCACCTACCAAACTGCAAGTCTCTTGAGGAAACAGATTGTGTCTCATTTGTCTTTGTAACATTCTCAGGGCCTACCTCAGCACTTAGCAAATTAAGTAATCATTCTACAGGGGTCAAATTGAATATGTAAAATGAATACTTTCTAGGTAAAAGTCACTGCTAAAAATATTAAACAAGAAAAAAGAAATATTAAGATTGTAAACAGCATCTTTTTTTCCCTAATGGTTAAATGTCTCTACTAACCACAAAGACCTTACAATTTGCATAGATTTTTAAAAATTAAAAAGATGGCCATCTCTTGTGAAAAGTTTAGATTTGGCCTGAGGATTGGGGGTGATAGACCACATAATCCAATGCTCAAATCTATGGGCTTATAAATATCATACCTGTGACTCTATTTCCAGGTGCCACAATAACAAACTAAAACAATTAAATCTAAAGTAATGATATCTAGTTTACTTTTTCATATTATATTTAAGAAAATCTGAGGTAAACAAAAGCTTACCTGCTTTCTTTCAGAAGGTATGATGCTTTCAGGTAAAAAAGGGCGACTAGAAAAGCAATTTCTAAAATCTAGGGCCTGTAGTAATTGCTTCTATGAGAAAGAAAAACAAGTAAAATAATTAATTAGATATATTTCTTAATCAAAACAGAATGACAGTTACCCGGAACACTAATTATTTTTCATTTTCACCAACCGCCCTCAAAGATACTTCAGTATTTAAACAATAACTGGAATATCCCACACTCACGTACTCTGTAATTACTAATAACAAACTGGGTCCTTTGACGAATTCTTTCTGGTTGTTGCAAAGGATGTGCTGAAATAGGAGGTGCCTTTTCAAACAGGAATTCAGAACCACATGGAGAAAGCTGTAATTTGGAGCCATCAATATAGTGTACTTCTACTGAATCATCTTCATAAAGCACCATTTGAACTTCGATCTCCATTGCTAATGAATTAAGAGTTTTCCAAGGACAACCCTATACTAAATAGGCCATAACACAGCACAGTTTTCTCAATGCATATTAATCCTGTTAAAATAAAAGAACACATCAGTTTTATAGATTTAGAGCTGTGTAAGGCCTGAGGTTATTTAGTCAAGCACCTTCATTTTTACAGATTAGGAAACTGAAGCAAGAGAAATTAATTGACTTGCCTGAAGACACCAAGGTAATAAGTGGCAGAATCACAGAGAAACTATATACTTTGATTCCATTTCTACAATACTACAGGTGCTACATTAAAATTAGAGATTAAAATTCTCCATGAAATCTTTTATTCACTCAATCTTTACTTTAACGTGGAAGTACAGCAAGGAGGAACAGAGGCTCTAATGAGTTGATCAATAAGCATTACTAGATCCCAGTTTCTATGCTAAATGCAAAGGATAAAAAAAAAGTGATCTTCATTACCACGAATGTTTACATTGTTACTATCTTTCTTTTTTGCTTGCTTTATTTATATAAATTAAAAACTCAGTAATTAGCTCAGAATGGCAGGCGTCACTTAAAAAAACCCACCTCAACAATTTATTTTCAGAATGTCATTATTTTTATCTTTCCTAAACCCTCAGCTATCAAAAACAGCACTTTTCTGAAATACTGTATCATTTCCCACAGAATTTACAGATATGTGAAATGACGTAAGCTGTTTCCTCTCAAAGTCATATCCATTCAGGTGATTCCAAGTAGTTTGCTCTTGAGACCCTGAAGAACAGCTTTTTAAAAGTACCTGTCATTCTGGGTGAACTAACTTGGTATTCCACAAAGTAGATACTTTCCCCTCTATGTCTATTTAAAACACACACACACACACATACACACACAAATTTTCCTCTATGTCTATTTAAAAACAAACACACACAATTTTCCTCTATGTCTATTTAAAAACAAACACACATACAACACTAATGTTTAAAAACACACCTGGAACATCACACAGAATGTTTGCTTGGATTAGAACCAGATTTTTTGAGATTCTAGACACCAAAAAAATACTGATCAGAGGGATATTTATAAGACACAGACTAGTTATATATTTCATACAATGGCAGTTAACTATGCCATCCCAAGGCAATCCCCCTCCTGGGCATTTACTCCAAGAAAATCAAAGACAGAAATAAAATCCAATATATACCAACCTGGAAATAAAGCAGGTGCCCATTGATTGGGCTGGGAAAAAACTATGGAATAAGAACTGTAATGGAATATTACTGTGCAATAAAAAATGATGAATTTGAAGAAACATGGGAATGCATAACAAAACACATGGTAAGAGAAAGAATAATACACAATAACAGTGTAAACAAATCACTTAAAGGAACTCAAACTGATTGACTAAAAATATCAATGAAGGTCATGGAGAACAGATAAGGAAACACTTTCTCCATCAAAGCAGAGGGGTGGAGGTCTACTAGAATAGAATGTCATAAATTGTTGATGTGGTTACTATAATTGGATTTTTTCGATTTTTTCTGACACAAGAAAGGGTTCGATATGGAGGGTGGGTTGAAATAATTATGACAGAAAAAAGGCATCAATAACATTTTTTTTAAGTAAATAACATTTCATTTAGATGTTGTCTGGAACCATATCACACAGTTCCATTTCTTTTCCTTTGGGATAAAAGATCCCTCAAACAAAGCCATTTCACTGGGGCTAAAAGCTTTGTTGCTTAGTCCACCTTGGCAGTTAAGTAATCTTTTACAAATAAATATGAATATAGTATGATCCAAGACAACTGACAATTTCCATGCCAACTAGCATTTTTTTTAGGGCTCAAAAAATGCTTAAGGAATAGTACTGATTAGCCACAGATAAAAGTGGAGACTGGGTAGAAAAAGAGAGAGTAAGAAGGGAGACCCCTGAGCTAAGGGAAAAGGAATGATGCTGATCCACTCACCCCTCTGAGCAGCTGATGCCATTATACAAGTATTTAACCCATAAACTAGCATGCCACAAAGTACAGGCAGCTCTGACACAGTTGGCATTGGTTTTGCTTGGTTACAAAAGGAATGGTTGGTTTGGTTATGGGAAAGAGAAGGAATATATTTTGTAACAGAGGTGATGTAAAAACAAAAGATAACAATAAAATATGATTTTAAAAAAGTGGTGTTGAGATAAATCTTAAGGCATTTCACCAAAAGCAACTAACAGGCCATATGGAAAAAGCATTCTGAATTAGTATAGCAGGACATTAATTTTAATGTCTGTTCAGTAATTATCTATCTTATATTTGGCAAAATTGGATAAGTCTTCTGTGTCTTACTTCCATCACTTGTAAATTATAGATGAAATACGCCATACTTCATTCGAGGAGTTATGAGAATTAAATTAATTTCTCAGACCTTTTTCTCTCTACACTTTTACTTAACAAGCACACAAGTCACCTGACTTCAACTATCCAATATCTATGTAACTAACTCTTAATCTGGATGTTTGACCCATTTCCAAATGTCAATTGAACAACTCCAAATCCAAGTAACTCCTCTTTTACCCTCAAACACCTGCATTTCCTTCTGATTACCTTACTTTTTGTTGACTGAACCACCACACCTCCAGACTTATGGGGTAAAAACCTGGGAGTCATCTCTGTCTGTCTCTTCTCAGGCATCAAGTTCTGTTGTTTCTACCTCCCCAGAATTATCTTTCACACAAGTGCCTTTCTCTTTGGTGTCAACACTAACACCTCAGTGCAAGTTCTTGTTACCTCCTGCCTGAAAGATTGTAATCATTTTCTAATTATTCCTACTAGATAAAATTCCTACTCCTTATCCTGGTAGTCACAATCCTTCACCACCTGTCCCTAATTTGACTTTCCATGCTCTTTTTTTCCCATGGCTTCCTTTCACAGCGCCCACATTTTGGGGGCCGCAGTCCCGTGAATACAACTCACAATTAGAAGTCAGGTGCCCTGGATCCAAATCCCTGTCCTCACACTTTGCACCCTCGTAACCACGTGAGCCTCAATTTCCCCTACTCAATCCCAGAGAGAACGCCGGGGAAAAGTGCAGTTTTAGACCTCCGAAGTGCTACATCAATGTGAGTTACGAAAACTTGCCGCTGTCCACTGCTCGCGGCTTCTTTCCCCAGGCCATCCCCTCTAGGGTCCGGCGTCCAGGCCCTGACCCCCTAAAACACCGCCTCCCCCACAAAGCCCGCCTCTTTCCCCGCCCGGAGCCTCGGAAGACGTCGCTGCAGGAGAGACGCTGCCAGTCCGGGGCCCATGAACTCGTGGCTCGGGGGTGATTTTTGCTAACCACTCAGTTCGCATGTACAGAAGCGGCGCCGCCGGGGGGGCCTGCGCGAGAGGCGGAGAAACGAAGCCCGAGACAAAGAAAACCAACAGTCAGCTCGGCATGAGGACGTAACTGCGGCTGTCCCCCCCCGCCCCAAGCTGGGGGCCCAGTACCTCCGACCCCCTTCTCTGCCCCGCGCTGGGGGGAGGAGCCACGTGACTCCTCCGAGCCTCGGTTTCCTTCCCTGCAGGACAGTGGCTGCCCTGCCTACCGTCCAGTCATCGATAAGACTTCTATGAAAGCGCTTTGCACGCCGGCATACACAGAAACTACCAGGAAAAGCTGGCGGAGGATAAAAGCCCGTAGGGAGGCCAGGCGGCGGCTTCGAGCCCGCAGCCTCGACTCCAGGGCGAGCCTACGACGGGCTACGACTTTCCACTACAGGGTTTAACCGTCCCGGGGTTGAAAGCAGGAAGTCCCGCCTCCTTCTCAGAGCTACGCGGCTCATTGGCTAGCTCAAACAAGGGGCGGGGAAGCATCCCGGGGCGGGCGCAGCTTGGTGGGGAGGAGGAAGCCTGAGGGGGCGGGCACCGGAAACCCGCAAGGCTCGGTGTCCCCCGGGCATCAGCCCGGTTTCCAGGCCGACCCTCGGCCCTCCGCGCCGCCAGAGCCTTCCAATACGTCCGCGGCGGCGCACGCAACGATCACGGACACTGTATCTAGCGGAGCATGACCAGTGGGCAGTGTTCAGCAATGGGAGGACACGGCTATCCCAACCGAGGAAAATCACTAAAAGTTGTAGTAAGTCAACACGTTTACTATAAAACAAGTCCATTTCTTCTCTAGACGCTCGTTAATGTAGGCATCCTAATTATATCCCATTTAGACTTTTTGTCTTGAGTAAGATATAGCATGCCCTGTAAAAATAATTCAGGCTACTTTACATTCATCACTTATTGGGAACAGCATCTGTGGGAATTCATGAGTTTAATAAAAATTGGAACTCCAATCTGCCTCAGATACACCCTTCACCCAAAATTAATGCATTAGACCAATAATCAGTGGGAGAGGTCCGAGGAAATTAATATTATAAATATTATTTAATATTATACATAATATAAAACCTCAATTTCTTGTTAATTCTACATCAAGGAAATGGGGACATCACCTGACCTCGCTGTAACTAAGACTTTCTCATGTATAAACGGGAGTTGGACTAGCTACTAGGATGTAGAGAAGGGACCCAGGCATTTAAAGTCATGCTGGTAATAAACGGTAGTCCTGGGTTTCTATTTAACTTCTATTTTGAAGTCAGATCTTCTGATTTAAAACAGAGCTGTAGGATTGTTCTATCCAGACAGGAAATACATAATGGGTGAATATGGCATTGTCCAGACTATGATAGGCAAATTGGAGAAACAGCTCTTAGTGGAAGATTTACAGAGGCATGCAGAAAAGCCCCACTGAGCAAGAGGAGACGGAAAGGTAAAGGTAGTGAGTTGTAACACTGGAGGCCCATCGGTAGGTATACTGCAATAGATGACACAGATGTGAGAATGCATTTTAGAAACTGAACAGTCCTTTCAATGAGCTCCAGATTCTGCTCAAGATAAAAACCGCATCTTTTAAATATCAATATTAACCAGGTGGAATCATGGAATACAATTTCAAAGGAATCAAAACTGCTCTCAACTCAAAGGGCAAGGCAGTAAGAGACACATAGTGGGTAATAAAAAGGCTACAGTATGTCAATGAAAAATTGCATGTAACAAAAGCAGAGAAATGTGTGACCAGAAAGGAAGTGGGTTGGTCCTGCAGTAAGAGATAACAAGTGGAAAGGCAGAATGCTGCTTCATCTGAATAATGGGGATAATACCTACAGTACCTACAACTCAGGGTTGTTAAGCTCAAATGTTAATAAAGTGTTATGGAAGCCTTAAAACACAATATAAAATGCTGCTATTATGATTGTTGCACCAATTCTGATGTAAACAATTTACTATTTTTAAATTTCTGAACCCAAGTTGTCAATATTTTAGTGGTCTCTTCCCCCATCCATCAGAAACATATACTTGTGTGAACAAATTCAGAAACCAACAGCAGCAAACATCTGGTGAAAACAATGTAAAGAGAAAGAGAAACACTTTTGTCAAACGTCTTTACTATACAGCCTTCCTGCACAGAAAGAGAAACAAATGGGTTCTGGACCCATCAGACTCAGAAGCCTGAGAGAGGCAGTATATATTAGTGATATGAGACTTTAATCATCCAAACATCTGCTGGAATGCTCCAACTAAAAGACTAACAGGCAATGATTTCCTAGCTTACCTTCATGATATTTTCATTCTTAAAAAAAATAAAGGAGGAATAACCAGAAATTTCTATTATGGATTTAATTATTACTTACCAAGAAAGGAAGGCTGATAGTTGTGGCAGAAATGGGGGAAGGCTTGGAGGAAAATGACCACTCCTTTCTAAGGTAAGTAAAGAGAAAAGCCTACTTATAAGCCAAACTTGTACCCTAGATCAAATTTGGGAAGGTGGATTTAAAAAGGGTTGAAAGGAATTAGAAATACGGTGGTCACATATTTTTTGACAAGTAGTATTTTTGACAGTTTAATTTTGTGATGGTCATGCATGTGTGCTTCTGACAGTAGGCTGAATCAGAAGACTTGACCTGGATGAGATGAAATTGGATTGAGCTGGTTTTCCTGCCTTTAATAAGTTCTGTAATGAGTGCTCCATTTGGCTAGAGCCACATACCAAAGATGGATAAACTCTAACTGTGAAACTGTCCAATTAATCCATCAGAATCCAAGTGAAGACCTCCCTCTAGAGGGACCTAGCACCTGGAAGGGTTGTTAAATGATTCCTCTACAGTGGGTATAGGTTTTCTTGGCATTGGAAAAAGCAAGACTGGGGGGGAAAGAAGAGGGCTGACCACAGATACGAAGAAAAAAAAATTTGTCATGGCCAAAATGATTCAGAACTTGAATACTTTAGACTAAAACAAAGTAATTGTTACTGATGAAACTCTGAAACACAATTTTTCCATTCAAAGCCATATACTAAAACCACTGTAGTAGTTTTGAGTGAGCCTGTAATATCTAGTAATCTTTAGATTAAAACATGCACCCCCAAAATGCTTGAGACTTGACTTCTAGTTACCCTAGTCTTGTTCTCGTTGAGGAAATTATTAACTTTGATAAATATATTGATAGACTGAGCAGCTGAATTACAGAAATTCCCAAATGAAGATGGAATGTTGGCAAAATGAACTTATACCATGCACCCATGACAAAAGCTTTCTCCAAGAGATGAAGGTAAACATATTTCAATGGTAAAAGAAACTCATGTGATTTAAATCCTCATTGAAAAACCCATGTGATATAATTTTGGCTAGTCTTAGAAAAAGTGGATTCTTCAAAGAGAGGCTTGATATCTAATGTGATAGAAATGTGGCTTCATGATAAAAAACTTTAAAAATCTGTTGAAGTACTATGAATTTAATGTAACATCATGCAAAACAAGTGACTAGCAAAAGGCATATATAAAGTCAGTTCTGCTATATCCCAACATGTTACTAAAAATCACACTATGAAAAATTGTGCAATAAAAACCATAGAGCTTATGGGGAAAATGGAGCACAACACGCAAAAACTTTGAAACTCATAAAAAAAGGATAGATTTCCTGGTCATATAAGCAACAAGATGGAGGTTTAGATATTTTCTCTGATCCCCATGATTTCTCAAATCTCTCCAAAACAGAAATTACGCACCAAAGATAAAGCAACTTGAGCTATCTCCATATTCTAGTATGCCTAGAATCCAAAAGGTTAAACATACACACACACATCCATGAATTGAGGCTTACTGATTCTGAGCTCACTCTGCACCTCTCCCCTACCTCCCACAATACCAGCAGTGAGGCTGCTGAAGCAGGTTCAAAGATATGATACAGGTTTACAATAAAATCTGTCTCCACATACTGGTCCCCCCCCCCATTTCCAGTTTTGTGAAAACCCCTTTTCCAGGTTTACAGAAATTTGCCTTGGCCATGACAGCCTGCCAGCACAGCCCCAGTTCTTTAAGAGCAAAAGCCTATTAGGGGACACAATCCTATAGCACCACCAGTGCAGTAAAGCTCTGAACTGCCAGTATTGGGACAAAGGACTAAGCAATACAGGGAGTGGTGCAGGATACCAGGACAGGACAACATACAGGTAGGGTTGCATGTGGTGTAACACTCTACTAAGCCAGAGGAAAAGGGCACAGCATCCAGCTGGGGCTAGTTCTGACCACCCAAAAGTCACTTGGCACAAAGATCTATACTGGAGAACTGTGAACTACTCAGCATGGGAGGAGGCTGAAAAGGTTTGAGATTCAGAGGAAACCACAATCAGAGGTGAGGGAGCTATAAGGGAAGATAAGGGGAAAAAAAGACTGAAATAACCAAAGACCTCAGGAAGAAAACTCAAAGACTTTGAATATAAACAGATAAATTAACAGGAAAAACAGTAACTACAGGAGGAAATATGGCCTCCAAATCTAATAAATGAATTCAAGTATCTACAAATTAAAACAAAGAAGAGTAATCCAACACTTGATTGAGACAGAGGGTCCTGTGAAATTTCAGAAGAACCACAACACATTATTCCTCAAAAGAGAAATGAAAATTATGAAAGCAAAATTTATGGTGTGCACAGCAAAAATAATGGGCAGAATAAAAAAAAACTGGAATTGAAATGGCAAGCCTCATCAAACAAAGAGAGACCAATAGGTTGGGAATGCAAATACAAAGAAGTGAAGTGTATTCTAGAAGAGAAGCAAAAACAGTAACATTAAAGTAAAATATGCTCAACACGCAAGCAAAATACACCGATCTCAAAGACAGGATGGGTAGAGAAAATCTAAAGATCGTAGAAGAACAGAAGAGCACAAAAGGACAAAAAACCTTAATATCATGATTCAGTAAATAACAGAATTGCCCAGAACTTGTGAATATAGAAAATGAAATACCAATTGAAATAATTCACAAATCACTTCCAGAAAAAAAAAAACCCAAAGCCTCAAATTCCAAGACACACAGTGCTTAAATTGAACAATTCAATTCATAAACAAGTTTTATGAGATCAGAAGACCTTCAAATACAAAGG